AAGATAAAGAAAGCTGGCCGAGCAAGCATCGGCATGAATGCACCTGTCTTTCTCCTTCCTGACTGTGGGGATAATGTAACAGCTGCTTAAGTTCCTGCCTTTATTCCCCCTCCGTGATGGATGGACCATGACCTGGAATTGTGAGCCAAGTAAACCCTTTCCTCCCTTATGTTGCTTTTCATCACAGTATTTCGTCACAACAAGAAAAATGTCTGGTTTCCTCTTTTGTTCTCTTGCTATTCAGTCCAGCACCCTTAACAAGGTGTTCAAATCCAGTCAAGTTGCTGATAAAGGCTAATCGTCGCAGACAAATGATGAGCACACTTCAACACTGCTGAAACAGAACACTATTGATTAGCAGAAGTGACGATCTTATGAAGCCCAAGATCAGACAAACCACCCAGTTGTGCCTCTGACCTCCTGGCTGCTGCACCTGGTCCCCCTCTCTCCTTTCCCTCCCACTCCCCTTCTCCCCACCTGGCCCGGCTCAGGCTGCTCAGGTCCACTCTGGACTCTTCCAGATGTCTCTGACTCTGGCTACGCTCTCTCTTTTATCCACAATAAACTTTCTCTTCCACCATACCTAGGAGCAATCATGTCTTTTCCTTTCCTTTTTCTTTCTTTCTGTCTTTCTTTTTTTTTTTTTTTTTTCATTCATCTGATGCTCAAAACCCAGGAGAGACATAAATGGGCCCCCATTCCCAGGGGCTCAGCCTCTCCTAGCTGAACCAAACTGCCGATTTTGCCGTCCTGGCTGCAGATCATTGCTTGTACTGGCTTCTACCACCCAACATATTTGCCTCCAAATTCTAAAGTCCAGCTTCTCTGCCTGCTCTAACAATCTGTTTCTCCTCACCTATGTGCTAAGTGTCCTCTCTCCCTGCTATGCCCTTTTGGCCATCTCCCTGCTGTGCCTTTCTTGGGGGCCAGCACATGCAGGCAATGGCTCCTCTACCTGCTCTAAGCACTTGTCTCTCCCCTTCTGCTGGTTAAGCGTCACTAGGGAGATCTGTGCTCTGTCTGCTTTCACTATAAAGGCCACACGAGTGTGTCGAGTGTGTCGGGAAGCTTCCTCTTACCCTGCCAGGTCACCACCATGTCAAAAAGGGATTTCCTCTCTGTGATTTGGGACCTTTCTCTCTGACAAGTCTCTCATTCTGCTTGGGAACCCCCCTGGATTGAAATTCTTGTTACCGTGACACTTACCCTCTGCCTCCTCATGGCTCCTCTCAGCTCCTTTCTAGAATGGCCTTACCTCTGGCTAGGGGCTGCCCACACACTTCTGGGTCTGGAACTCCTTCCTTGCCCCTCTAGGAGCTGTCTGCTGTATTTCTCCCTGGTGCTCCTGGTCTTCTATATTGCGGGTTTCCTTGCCTCCCCCTAGTTGCTGCCTGCTAAGTCCTGCAGCTTCTCGAGGCCCCCATGGCCTCGAGGACACTGGAAGTGAAGTTCCTGCCTGTTTGTCTTTGCCCCTTACAGCTGCACTGTTCTCCGTCCTTAGCTGCCTTAACCCTCCCCAGGACAGTGTCCTCTTTATGACCCAGCCTCCTTTTCTCTTTGGACTCAATTCCTTTCTCAGACCCAGAGATTTACTTAAAGCAATCAAAAAAGAAGAAAGAAAAAAGGAGGAAGAATCTGTGGCTTGTGGGATGGTAGGGGGTCATACTGACGGTAGAGCACATGAAGGGAGGGCCGAGGAGGGGCAAAGTGCCAACAGAGGGATTTTGAGGTCATAGAAAAGTCCTGTTCTTAATCTGGCTGTTGGCTATCTGAGCACACTCATCTGATAAGAGCCACAGAGCTGGCCAGGCACTGTGGCTCAGTCCTGTAATTCTAGTACATGGGAGGCTTAGGCAGAAAAATTTCCATAAATTTAAGGCCAGCCTTGGCTACATAGTGAATTCCAGGCCAACCTTGGCTACAGAGTGAGAGACTCTCTCTCAAGAATGAATGAATGAATGAATGAATGAATGAATGAATGAATAACTAACTAACTAAATAAATAAATAAATAAATAAATAAATAAATAAATAAGTATAACCTACGGATGTAGGATGGCAGTGTAGCTCAGTAGGTAGAGTGCTTGCTTTGCAAGTGAAAATCCCTGGGTTTCATCCCCAATACCACATAAGCCAGGCATGGCAGTGTGTACCTACAGTCCCAAAACTTGAGGAGTGGGGCAGAAGGAACAGAGATTTAAGACTAGTCTAGGCTATATAAAACCTTATCTGAAATAAACTTTAAAAATTCTACGGAGCGATGTACTTAAAGACCCTGAACCTTACACTAGGGAGTTCAGGGGGTAAAGGCACTAGCTACCAAGCCACATGATGTCAGTTCAGTTCCCTGGTACCCATGGTGAAAGGAAAGAACCAAGCCCCACGAGCTGCCCTCTGGCTTCCACACACGTGTGCTGTGCATGCACACACATCCACATCAGAACAAATAAATAAATTCAATATAAAAATTTTAAAATCCATGTACTTTGATGCCAGATAAAGTTTATTTAATTATATTAGCATCAGGATAAATTTAAAGTAAGCTGCAATTTTTTTAGAGGCAAGTTTTCTCATTGCAGAATATTAAACAATGTTTCTTTGCTCAGTTGGATCTTCATGAGGACTTCCTAAAAACAAATCTGCTCTTATTTATCTATCTATTTATTTTTGAGACAGGGTCTCACTCTACAGCTCTGGCTGGCCTGGGGCTTGCTAAGTAGAGTAGGCTGGCCTCGAATCTCAGAGACCCACCTGCCGCTGCCACTGTGCCTGACCTTGGCTATGTTCTTTTTATAGGATGTCATGAAGTCGCTGGCACTTTGAGTTTCTTTGGAGTCAGGATTGATGGCTCCAGCTGAATTTTATTTTCTAGTTTGGAAGGTAAAGGCAGGCAGAACTCTATGAGTCCAAGGTTAGCCTAGTCTACAGAGTGAATTCCAGGATAGCTAGAGCTATATAGAGACCCTATCCCCCCCCCAAAAAAAAAAGAAAGTTATAGTGGGAAGGGTTGAACTCAAGTTTTTATGGTTTTTGTGGTAGGGGGAAGAGGTGTTTCTTGACAGGGTTTCTCTGTGTAGTCCTTGCTGTCCTGGAACTCACTCTGTAGACCAGGCTGGCCTTGAACTCAGATCCTCCTGCCTCTATCTCTTGAGTGCTGTAATTAGAGGCGTGTGCCACCACCACCTGGCTTATTTTTTTATGGTGTTTTATGATGTGTAGTTCTCATTTAGGAAGAAATCATGATGGCGTTTGACAGAGAAATATTTCGATTATTTAATAAGATACTGAGGATGTGTCCAGAGTGCTAAGCCAGGGTCCAGGTGCAATCTGTGTCCTCTGATCTGGCTTGAGTTCTCATGGGAGAAGGAAACTGGCTGAGCAGAGGAAATGATGCTTCTGTGCCTGCTTTTCCACATTTCTCCAAATATCCCCTTAATAGTTTCCGCTTGAAAACCTATAGGTTTGGGAAGGCGGCTCAGGGCTAGAGAGAGTGTGTGCTCCTACAAGGGTCCAGAGTTCGGTTCTCAGCACTCACATCACCTTCTTTCTGTGGATTCAGTTCCGGGGCATCTACCGACTCTCCTGACCTCTGTGAGAACTGCACACACACCCATACACATAATTTGAAAATGAGTTAATATGTTAATAATATCTTTAGATGGTAAACATATCTAGTGAGTAAACATACTTGGGGTAGCAAAGAGTTAGAAGGGCTCTACTTCTAAAGATTTGAGTGCAGGTTGAGAATGGAGAAAACTCAGGGGATTGGTTGGCCCAATTTTAGTCAGGGTACTGAGCACCTATGATGTTCAGGTATCTTGCTGACTCTAGACGGAAGCATTGAATAAAAGCTATGGTGTCCCTGACCATATGCAGGTTAGGGCTTATCCATTGAGAACATGGTTAATTATTATCTATTTTGAGGCAGAGCGTTAACTCTTAGAGCTCACAGCTGTCCTCTGCTCCAGCGTGTAAAGTTCTGGGTCAAAGGCATGGCACCACACCTCAATAAAACAAAACAGAACAAAACGCCAGCAGTAAAACTGCCAACTATGCAAACTGTTGCCCTCATCTCAGGCTGTGATTCTGTCCTCAAAAAGAGGCTCAAAAGCAGGCAGAAATCTCTACGTGATCACAAACTTAGCGCTTCTGGTAGAGTTCCTATTGAAACTGGGCTGCCAGAGACATCCAAACACAGCAGCTGCTCAGCTCAAGATGAGAGCAAGTCTCAAACCCTCAGATTAAAGTTAAGTCTGATGCTAACCGGATGAAGATGGAGGAAGACAGACAAGAGTTAGACTCCTGGAGTCAAGGGTTGTTTGTTTTGTTTTCGGATTTGTTTGTTTATTTTTCAAGACAGGCTTTCTCTGTGTAGCCTTGGCTATCCTGAAACTCAGTCTGTAGAGCAGGCTGGCCTGGAACTCACAGCGATCCACCTGCCCAAGCCTTCCTAGTGCTGGGATTGAAGGCATTTGCTGCTGCCTTCAGGTCTAGTTCTGATCTTTTAAAACAGCAAAAATGAACTGAAAAGGATGGTTTTCTAAAAATGTTCCTTTCATCTCCTTCTTTCTTGACTGAAACAAAAAGCAAAGCCAGGGAGGGGAGACTTTTACAGAAGTTACCCAGGCTTTTGTCCCCTAACGTCAAATTTACTCTATTAAAACTTTAGCAGTTGTAGACTGGAAAGTTGTGGCCTTTTTCACTGCGAGGGACTTGGAGGCAGGAAGGGCCCAGGGCTGAACGCCGGTTTTCAGGGTTTCCTGCCAGCCGGGCCACCTTGAAGTAGAAACTCTGAGCCAAGGCCACAGAGGCGAGCCGGGCCCAGGAAGTCACGCACCGCAGGGTCCCGGAAATCCCCGGCCGGGGTTGCCTCGGGGTGCGCAGGAAGAGCGCGTGGTTTTCACCCCGGAGTTCCCCGCGGGTGCGAGGAAAGCCCCGCGCGGCGGGAGGGCGGGGCGGGGGCGGCGGCCCGGCCGCCGCGCATTTAAAGGCCCCGTGACGCGCAGCCGCACCCCGCGGGCCGGGACGGGTGCCACCCGCGGAGTCCCGAGGTCGAGGCTGGCCGGCGGAGCCAGGGCAGGCGGGCTGCGGTGAGTACCTACGCGCGCGTGGGGAGCGGGTACGGGGGTCACCGGGTGGCCGAGCGAGGAACTGCCCAGCCGGCTTCAGTGGTCCTGCCCGCAGGCTGTCCACACCACCGACCCTGGCTGCCCATCCTCCCTCCCTCCCTTGCCCGGTCTGTCTCCCCCTCTGCGTGAGGCGGTTTAATTCGGCTGCTTGAGGAAGCATCTGGGAGACTTGACACTGGGCGAACCTGGGAGTTTAAGGATGAGCCTGGGGGAAGCTCAGAGTGGGATTGGTTGTTTTCTTAGTGCTAAACTCATAGAGAAAAAAAAAAAATTACTAGGGCTTTTTCTTTTTCGGAAGACCATCTCACACTCTAACATTCTAGTTTTGAACTCCGGAAAATCCTCCTTCCCTAACCCGTTGAGTGTGGGGATGTGATTACAGGCCTGAGTCACTGCCTCCAGTTTCTCAGGAGTGCGCTTCATCTGGCCAGTAGATCGCTGGAGTCATTTCCGTCTCCCGCATGCCAGGCCCCGCCCTAAAGACTTAGCATATGCATATTTTCTATTTAATCACCACTTGCAAGAAGTGGGTGCCATTCTTACCTCCCTTCTGCGCTGAGGAAACTGAGGCTGATGTGCTTTTCCTGGGTCTCACAGTAGTAGCCCTGGCTGGCTGGAACTACTTAAGTAGACAGGCTGCCTCAGAACTCAACAGGACATTGATGACATACTCACTTCTCCTCCGGTGTGCTGGGATTTCAGATGTGCAGGCCGCTTGCTGGTTTTCTTGCCCAGCGTCACACTCTTGGTAAAAAAGGGACTGACACTCTTTCTTGATGTGTGACTCCAGAGCCTGGGAGTTAGCAGCCAGTAGGCCAAGTTAGCAGTCACAGAGGAAACTTAGTTAATGAAGGTGCTTTGGACATGCTGGACTCAGTCAGCTGTGCTAAGAAATTCTTCAGCGAGAAGTTATGAGTGAAGGCCTGTAGCCATAGCACTTGGTTGGTGGACGATGAAGGATCAGTACTTGAAGGCCACCCTAGGCTATATGTCTCACACAACTGTATCAGGCTCCGGGACCGGTGGCTACTACAGAAATGAAAGCATACTTCCTATTCTGAAATTGATATAGTCCAAGGTGGAGGGAGAAAGACACATTTAACCCGAAGTGTCAGAGAGGTGGCCCAGCTGACTGTCCCACAGGGCGGGGACACCCAACAGGCCCTGGGTCCACGAGACTGGCGGGGGGAGGGGTGGGGCTCAGGCTCATCTGTAAGGAGCCACTGGACACTGACGTGGACAAGGCAGTCGAGCAGGACATGCCTAAGAGGAAGTGGGCTCAGGGGCAGATTGTGGACGAGCTGTGGTTGTGTGGAGATGTGATTTATAAGCCAGTGTTCCGTTGGCGCGGCTGTGGAGAGAGGGCCAGACCCAGGAATGGCTGGAGTAGAAGGATGGCTCTCGAGGTGTCTTCATTTGGAAGGAGAAGCATGATTACTGTGTGGTGGGACTAGCGTCCTGCAGGGGTTGAGGAGAGGAGTCTTTCAGAGCAGTAGGAAAGAATAGGTCCATGGCGGGGCACTTGTTTCTGTGAGGTGGCCAATAGACTGTACGCACGAGGGTAGGCAGAGGGCTGCACAACACTGAGGAGCACAGCAAGCGAGTGAATGTGAGCTTGGGTCTCTTCAGTGAAGGATAGAAGTACTGCTACAAATGCTGGTCAGGACATGGAGAAAACAAAAGCCCTCTGGGGCAGGGATGGTCAGCTAGTCTAGACTCTGGAAATCAGGGTAACAGCCCCTCAAGAAACTGAAAGGAGAACTACCCAGCTCTGCTCCTTGGTCTGCTGTCCATGGAGGGGTGTAAGACAGGTTACCATAGAGACATCTGAGTACCTGCTGTCTTAGTCACTGTACTTACTGCTACTGTGTGGAGACACCATGACCAAGACAACTCGTGAAGGAAAGCATTTAATGGGGCTTGCTTGTAGTTTTGGAGGGTGAGTCCATGATCATCATGTTGGGAAGCATGGCAGCAGGCAGCAGGCAGGCGTGGTCAGGCGACACACCTCCTCCAACAAGGGCATACCTCCTAATGCTGCCCAAACAGTTCACCAACTCAAGGCTAGACATTTAGACATATGAGCCTGTGGGGGCCATTCTCGTTCAGATCACCGCACTCTTGTTTATTGTACCACTCTTCAAAATGGGACAAACTGGATGCCTGTTAACAGATACATGGGTAAAGATAAAGTGTGTGTGTGTGTGTGTGTGTGTGTGTGAACACTGAAATACTATTCAGTTGTGAAGAGAATTAAATAGTATCATTTGGAGAAACAGACGGAACAGGAAATCATGTTAAGCAAAAGAAGGTAGAGGAATAAAGGCAAGCGGGCCTTCATTTCTCTAGAGAGGGACTCAGTAAAAAACTATGGGAATAGGAGAGGGCTAAGAAAGGGTCAAAACACAATCTGTGCATATGTATAATTGTCACAGTCACACACAAATTAGTTAAACACTAATTTGTTTAATCAACATACATTAGTAATTCTAATAAAACAAAAGCTGTGTTGGTGGCTCACGCCTGTAACTTTAGAACTCAATGATAATGATACTGTGAGTTTGAGGCTAACTTGGGCTACACAGTGAGTTACCAGGCCAGCCTGAGCATGAGTACCTGTCTCAAAAAACAAAGCAAACCAGAAACCAAAAAGGCATATGAGAAGAACAAACTAAAGTTTTAGGATTCTTAAGAAATGACTGCAGAGATTTCAGAAAATTGAGGATGGGCAGATGGCCCAGTGGTTAAGAGCACCTGCTTGTCTTACAGTCAGGCATAGAAGGGGATTTCCCCCTAGTTTTGTAATTGTATTACTGTTATATAAGATGTTAACTTTGGGAAACTGGGTGCAAAGTATATATTAATTTTTCAGGAAAGAGGTAAACACGTAATGAAGTACTGTGCCGTCATGCTGTGTAAGACAAATATAAATATATAATTTAAACATATTATACATTATAATATTTACATATAATATGTATCTAATCTATATGTAGTTACATATATATAATTTGTCTTAAAAATGTATATATTTGTCCATGAGCTTTGGTTTGTGACTCCTGGGTGCTATGTGAGATTTCTTGGCTGATGGCACCCAGAGCAGTATTGCTCTCTCAGTGCTGGGGACTGAGGCCAGGGCCTTGTATGTGCTATCCAAGTGCCTTCCACTGAACCCCAACGCCAACCCAGATTAGCGTAGCTTCCTGCTACATACCAGTCACTATTTTGGAGAAGATATATTAAGGAAAAGATCCTGGTGACACTTGCTTGTGCTCCCAGCATTTGGGAAATGCAGCTAGGAAGATGATGAGCCTGAGCCCGTCTTGATTACAAAGGGAAACCCCAGTCTCCAAAAAGAGGGAGAGGATGGTGAGGGGAGAAAAGAAAAAAGACCATTGTGTTCTAACCTTTAGTTATTTGACTTTAATTTTTCTATTTTAAACAGGTTTACAAAGGACACAAACCCTTCTACTATTTCTAGCTTTTTTTTCCTCCGTTTCTTCTGTAAACCAAAACATCTCAAAATGGAGGCCTAAAACCTCAAAAGGGACTTAGTCTGATCTTGGGAGGTAGTTTTGTGCATGGACAGACCAATGTTTAAAAGTCCTCATTCTGAGCCTGTGGTTATCATGACTGGGTTGTGCCTTTGACTCCTGGGAGGGAGAGCTGCTCTGGGGCTGGGCACAGTGTTGAAGCAGCCCTCTGAAAGTTGCCTGGCAATCTCCCACCAGCAGGAAGTTTCAAAAAAGTGCCTGTGTTTAAGAAAGAGCCAGAATGAGAGTGCCTGTAGTCACCCTTTGAGAGATTACAGAAGTATGCTTATCAGGTCGTTGACATGTTGCAAGACTTCAGCGGTGACCGAGAACAAACAGGGACAAAATGTTCCGGTAGGCACAGCAAACATAGAGGAAGTAGGACAGACAATGAGAGTCGAGAAACTGTCCACCCACGATGGCCACTGGCATTTTAAAGGCCTGCCCTGTAGTTCTTTTAAATAGACTGCAAAGATTAAAATGGCTGTGGCTACATTATTTTGATAAATGAGCCAGTTTATTCAGAGTGAAAATGTCATAGAATGACCCAAGTTCTCATAATCCTGTGAGGGGTAGTGAGGTCAGATACAAGGATTTATCCTGAGGGAGACTCTTGCTGACAAATGTGATGTTTCTCCTGCCACCTGGAGATGATGAATTGGTGTCTTTGGTAGGGAACCTGCTATATCTGTGCACTGCAGAAAGCCACACCAGCCAGTGGCAGCAAACCCCTGTTCCTTGACGTAGAACTGATTTGCTAATGGCTAATAAGTTTTATGTGAGAAATTCTCAATTTTGAAGGTCTTTGCTGTTCAGATGGCAATGGACTTTTTTCCCCCTTGATATATATGGGCTCAAGGAACACTCTCTGAGATAATTTCTGACCAAAACTAAAAGTTTGAAGCTTAAGCCAGCAGTGGTGTGCATGCCTTTAAACCCAGCACTCGGGAGGCAGAGGCAGGCGAATCTCTGTGTTTGAGGCCAGCCTGGTCAACAGAGCAAATTCTAGGATAGCTAAGGCTACACAGAGAAATGCTGTCTTGACCCCTTTTCCTCCCCCAAAAAGTTAAAGTCATTCCAGATCACAGAGGGGTAAGGCACAGGCTTTTTGTGCCCAAGGCCCTGGGCTCAGTTTCTGCTGCTACCCAGATGAGCAGAAAAGGTTTTTTGAGTAGAAGATCAATTAATAATTCAATCTTGGTCCTTTGAAAGGAAACAAAAACTAAACAAATTTTGAAGAGGTTTATTATTTTAAATCATGTTCTCATTCTACATGAAACACAGAGTTTTTAGTGCAGTTTGGGTGAATGCTGGTAGTGCATTCCAGCAGCAAAGAGAAACAGATCTGCCCATCAAGATGCCTGGCACAGAGGGACCCAAGTACTACGCTTCCGAATGGGGTTAACTTTAATCATACATTGACTGTCAGAATCTAGTTTTTACTGTATACATGAAGATTATACAAAGGTATGGTTGTGTATAATTATGCCTTAAAATGTATCAGGGTAGGGTTTAGAATTTCATCCTACTAAAACCCAAAATATATAAAAGAAAAAAAAATGAGTTTGTTCTTATTTTAGGTGTTCAGCCTAGTAGTAAAACTGACCAAAAGCCATGCACAAAACTGCCTCCCCAGAGAAAGGCTGGTCCCTTCCCTCCCCATCGGTTCATCATGAACGTGGTTCAAGACAGTGTCTTCCTGACCAGGCTGATGAAGAGCGCTGATTCCTTTGAGTTGAAGTACGACTTCTCATGTGAGCTGTACCGCCTGTCCACATACTCTGCTTTCCCCGCCGGAGTTCCTGTCTCGGAAAGGAGTCTGGCTCGTGCTGGCTTTTACTACATGGGTGTGAATGACAAGGTCAAGTGCTTTTGCTGTGGTCTGATGCTGGACAACTGGAAACAAGGGGACAGTCCTGTTGAAAAGCACAGACAGTTGTATCCCAGCTGCAGCTTTGTGCAGACTCTGAATCCAGCCAGCAGTCTGGAAGCCAGCCCACAGCCTCCCCTCCCTTCTGCAGCGACAAGCACCATGCCTTCATTCTTTGCAAGTCTGGAGAACACTGGCTATTTCAGTGGCTCTTACTCAAGCTTTCCCTCAGACCCTGTGAACTTCAGAGCAAATCAAGATTGCCCTGCTTTGAGGGCAAGTCCCTGCCACTTTGAAATGAACACAGAGAAGACCAGATTACTCACCTATCAAACATGGCCATTGTCCTTTCTGTCCCCAGCAGAGCTGGCCAGAGCTGGCTTCTACTACATAGGACCTGGAGACAGAGTGGCCTGCTTTGCCTGTGGTGGGAAACTCAGCAACTGGGAACCGAAGGATGATGCTATGTCAGAGCACCGAAGACATTTCCCCAACTGTCCGTTCTTAAAAGTTCTGGGTAAATCTGCTTCAAGATACTCTGTCTCTAACCTGAGCATGCAGACACACCCAGCACGCATTAGAACGTTCTTTAACTGGCCTTCTAGCGCGCTAGTTCCACCTCAGCAGCTTGCCAGTGCTGGCTTTTATTACACAGGTAAGCAACTTAATCCAAGAATCTTAGAGATCCATCGTGGGTTATATTATACATGCGAATAGGCAAATTTGATATATTTACAAGCTTTGGTTCACAATGAATTTTAGGACACAGTGATGATGTCAAGTGCTTTTGCTGTGATGGTGGGCTGAGGTGCTGGGAATCTGGAGATGACCCCTGGGTGGAGCATGCCAAGTGGTTTCCAAGGTAACTGCTTTGAAATTCTCCTTGCATCTTCTCTGGTTTTCATGAGCTACGTTATCTTCCTTTGTAGCCACGTTGCCTCTGAAGGTCTGCAGATTTGATTTGATTGTTATGTGTATGAGTGGTTTGCTTGCGTGCATGTCTATGTTCCACGTGTGCAGTGCCTACAGAGGCCAGGAGAGAGCGCTGGATCCTCTGTGACTAGAGCTCTAGATCGTTCTGAGCCAACAGGTGGGAGCTGGGAATCAAACCTGTCTTCTCTGGAAGAGCAGCCAGTGCTCTTGATTGGTGAGTCGTCTCTCCAGCTCCGTTACTTCAGATTTTAAACACTGGAAGATCATAAAGGATATTCACATAGTATTTTTTGTTTGTTTGTTTTGTTTTTCTAGAAAAGGCTTCTCCATGTAACCCTGACTGTCCTGGAACTCACTCTGTAGACCATGTTGGCCTCGAACTCAGATATCCACCTGACTCTGCCTCCTGAGTGCTGGAACTAAAGGCATATGTCACCATCAATGGCCACACAGACTTTTTAAAAACATTTATTTATTTATTTATTTATTTATTTATTTAATGTATATGAGTGCTCTATTTGGATGTACACCTGCACGCCAGAAGAGAGCACCAGATCCCAGTAGAGATGGTTGTAAGCTACCATGTGGTTGCTGGGAATTGAACTCAGGACCTCTGGAAGAGCAGCCAGTGCTCTTAACTGCTGAGACATCTCTACAGGCACCTTTTTCTTTTTTTTTTAAGTGCATTCTATCATTCTAGTTAAAAAAAATTTTTTTTAACATTTACTTATTTGTTTTATGTGTGTGTGGTGTGGAGGTCAGAGGACACATTTTGAGGGCTGCTTCTCTTCTCCTACCCTGTGGGATTTGAACGCGGGTCTTCAGGCTTGGTGGCAAGCACTTTTACCAGCTGAGCCATCTTGCCAGCCTCCACTGTAGTAGTTTTGTGAGTAACAAGAAAGTGTGTCTGTGCCAATGCTGCTGTGGTTCACTCTGTACTTAAATTTAGCGATGGAGCTATCCTGTCTAGGGATCAGCAAACCTATCAGTGTAGGAATTGTATTGGGTGTCTCCATTCTTCCCTCAAGTCCATCTTTGTGTGTTTTCAGCCCATAAAGTCGTCATGACATCACGTTTCCATGTTCATGTAAGGGTATTTTTGGAACTTTTAGGAGGTCACAAGGCAGTGAGGAGCTCTGAGTAGCTAGCTCTGGGGGGCTCCTCCTGGCCGTCCCTCAGTGTCTCAGCTGTCACAGCGCAGTGGCTAATCCTCCCCTACACAGACTCGCCTTCGCTGCAGTCCAAGGGAATGTGTGGCTATTATGTGTGTGTTCAGTCTCCTGAGAAATACTTTTACCAGCCTACTCTTGACGGTCAGGTGAGCTCTGCCCAGTGTACCATAAACTTCTCAGGGTTTTCAAGATTAGCAGAGGCACAGTATATCCTTGTGATAAAACTACAAAATAGAAAATAGTAAAACTAACGTTGTAAAACAGCCAGATTGTATGACTAGTGGTCAGTGAAATTCATGCAGGCCTCAAACAGCACTTTCAAAACTTCACACTCAGAGGCTAGAGAGATGGCTCAGTGGTCACTACACTTGGGTAACAGCATGCATATTAAGCAGTTCACATCCGCCTGCTATCCCCGTTGCTGGAGGACCACATCCTTCTGGCCTCCTCGGCACCGCACCGCACTCACACGCACAGACACAAAAATACACATAGACAAAAAAAAAAAAAAAAAAAAAAAAAAAAAATGGATCTTAAAAACCTTCAAAAGGTGGCTGCGGCTTATTCTTCTAAAGTTAAGAATCTGACTGTCAGCACTCTACCACCCGGGCCTTTAAGCAGACCTCATGTGAGGTGAGCACCCATATATGGCTTTGTTACTAAGTTTCATTTCATTTTTTAACGTTAACATTAAATTTAAATTAAATTTTTATCATATAAAATTAACTAACTGTACATTATGAAGCTGCTAATGAACAATGTTGATTTGTTAAATAACTCCCAACGTTTCTGTGTTTTAGGTGTGAGTACTTGCTGGAAATCAAAGGACAAGAATTTGTCAGTCAAGTTCAAGCCAGTTTCCCTCATCTACTTGAACAGGTGGGAAAGGCCTCCTTTTAAAAAAAAATATTATCCCCAACAGAAATTTATTTGTTTATTTTTAAATGTTTAATTATTTAATAAATTATTTCTAAAAATTAGCCGGGCGCGGTGGCACATGCCTGTGATCCCAGCAGTCAGGGAGGCAGAGGCAGACAGATCTTTGTGTGTTCAAGGCCAGCCTGGTGTACAAAGTGAGTCCAGGGTAGCCAAGGCTAAGCAGAGAAACTATGTCTCAAAAAAAAAATTTTTTTTTTAATTATTTGTAAGAATAAGTAACAGTAGTGTTTTAGTGAAAAGGTGAAGGCTGTTTTAAAACACTGCCCTTTTTTCCTGACAAGCCTCAGCATTATTGTGCGAGGTACTTCTCTTTTGAGAAAAACAGATCTGTAAAGATAATATTTCTTGTATTTCTGTTTAAGCTGTTGTCTAATCAACTAGCAATAAATTCAACTCTGAAGAAATTAGGAAATTAAATAGTAAATTACATTTGAGGCAAACTGTTTTACTGTGTAAACTTTTCTTAAATAATTTGAGAAAGCATTTGTTAAGTTATTTGCTCCTTATTTCCTAGCCCGAGGTTCAACAGCTTGTTTGCTGTGGCCAGAGGCACTGACTGGGGAGTCTGTCCCAGCGAGCATGCTGCCTCCCAGGAAATGAGCTTGTCCCTCCAGGGAGGACAGAATTGCTCACCAGGGCGCACTGCCCATGGAAGCTGTTAGTTTAGAACCTCCTTATTCAAATCGCTGGGGTGGGGTGGGGGGGTGTAAATGAAATATTGCTTCTGACTGAAAAAAAGGATTGTTGATGACAAAGTCAGTTTGTAGTAGGTTAAATAAAGCGTGTCTTTTGATAATTTTCAGTGCAGAGGTGTGACGTGGCTTATATTTGAACATGTGTATTTTTTTTCTGTAGTTATTATCTACGTCAGACACCCCCCCGGAAGATGAAAAATCAGAAGCAGCAAGTATGTATAATGATCATAATTCCTGCATTAAAATGAACCATTCTGTACTGAGAATGAAGGTGAAGTAGGTGGGGTTATAAGCCAGCATTTGTGAAGTGGAGGTGGAAGGATCCTGTGTCCAAGGTCACATTGAACTATGTGAGACCTTGTCCTAAAAATAAACAAAAAAGATTGAAAGGTCATAATAGGAAATGCACACTCATGTGGATCTCTACTTTATAATTAATCACGTGGTTTATCATTAACACACCCTGTTGCTGTCTGTTAAACTTCAGTGTGCATCAGAGTTGCTTGGAGAACTTGTAAACAACAGTGGACATGTCTAGTTCGTGTTTCAGACCTCACAGCTTGCATCAGTGTATGTTCCTGTGTGTCTTGAGTTTTCTATGTACAGCTGTTTCTGGTATTTGTTTTTGATGGTCCTGGGGATTGAACCTAGGACCTTAGGCATGCCAGTCATAACCTCTTTTCCTGAGCTCCACCCGCAGGTCTGGGCATCTGCACTTTAAACAAACTACATACATCTAGCCTCACCATGTTGGTGCCAATGTGGGAACAAATGTACTGTGCCTTCAGCTGTTGGCATCCTCTTCCTGTTTCTAGAGAGGGTGGGGCATAGTGTTTCCACCCTTTCACTGGGACCCCGAGGCTCAGATTGCCAATGTGACTTTCCTCTTACTTGAACCCTGGTGGATGGAGCAAACATTTCAAGAGGTGCTTTGACTCAATGCAATTCATTTTAATACTTTGTTTACTTTTATGTGCATTGGTGTTTTGCCTTCAAGTATGTCTTTGTGAGGTGTTGGGTCCCCTGGATCTGGAGTTACAGACAGTTGTGAGCTGCCATCGAGTGCTGGAAATTGAACCTGGGTCTTCTCGAAGAGCAGTCAGTGCTCTTAACCACTAGAGCCATCTCTCCAGCCCCAATGCAACACAGTTTTATTGTGGGTTTTGTTGTTGATACTGTTCCAAGGAAAGAATAGAAAACATGATAAGCATGGCTCCTGTTCTCTCATGATTTTAGGGAAACAGATGAATGCTCAGATAAGAGAACAGGATCTGAAGGAGAAGTGTAGAGACAAGTAACTAAGTCCAGGGAATAGAAAAGCCTTTCTGGAAGTCAGGTGTAGCAGCCTCTGTGTGCAGCGGGGCCTGCAACCTCAGTGCTTGGAGGGCTAAGGCCATACAGCCACAGCTAGCGTTGGGATGTACAGTGAGTTCCGGGCCAACCTAGTGGGACCTTGTCTTAAAAGGATAAAACAGGGCTGGCGGGTGGCTCCATGGCTAAAGGAGCTGACGGCCAGCGTTCTAGTCCTTGGACTCACGTGGTGGGAGAAGAGAACTGACTCCATAAGTTGTCCTGAATGGCACACACACCCTTACCAAAACCAAACAGAAACAAAACAAGACAAACTGAAAAATGAAAGGAAAGGCTGTCTGGAGGAAACACTTTTCTTGGCAGAGAGTCCAAAAAAAGAGGAATCAGTTAATTGACAGGGAAAAGCATATTCCATACGAAGAGAACATCAGAGGCCTTAGCAACATGGCACAGAAACATTCAAAATTTTGAACAGGATAAAATTTTGTCTGGCCAGAAGAGTGAGCTGTAGGCAGGTAATTGTGTGAGGCTGGCTGATGTCAGTCAGCACTGAGGGCAGGATCTGCCTAAGAGCTATCAGTTTGTGAGTTCTAGGGCAGAATGCAAGGGGCACATGCCTGAGGCTGCTTATGGCATGGAGCTAGCAGGGAATGAGGCAGCAGAATGTTTAAGCCTCAGCTGGATTTGAGATGTCACCCAAAGGGAATGGTGTTCAGGTTAAGGTTTGCATTTTGAAATGCAAAAAACAAAACAAAACAAAACAAAAACAAACCCACTGAGTTGTGGTTCCTAGAGTACCGGAAGGGCAGTATTCTAGGACCCTGGGGTGAGTGGGTGCGGGTTGCATTGGCTTCTTTTAAAACTGTGAAAACACAATAGTGAAGTTATGGGTTGAGCCAAGGTGCTCACTGACGAGTCCTGCACCTCTCTAACCTCAGCATTTGGGAAGTTGAGGCAGTACCCATGCTTGTATGCTTAGACTTTATTCTTCAGAAAAGAAGACAGGAAAAAAAAAAAAAAACAGAAAATTATTCAGCCATTAAAACAGGGAATGGAAAGAACCAGAGATATCAAAGTATGTGATATGTGTGTGTGAACATATCCCAATAAACATCGTATATAATTGATAAGTACTAACAAAAAACAAATATGTGGATATGTATTTGATATAGAAAACCCACTAGTTTATTCAGTGTGGAGACTGGAGCCCTGCTTCTGGTGGAGGTGATCCCTGACGTTCTCTGTCTTCTCTCTTGTGGTTGCAGGCTGCTGTGTGAAGGCGATAGTCCTCCACATTCTCATATGTCGTTTAAAGTTAGTAAGGTGCATACACTGTAATGCCTATGCATTTTTTCAGATTTTATGCTTTGAGATTGCAGGACCTTTCTATTTAAAAGGTAGGTGAAGCGGGCGTGCTGGTTTATGCCTAGCACTTGGCTGTCTAGCTGAGGCAGGAGAATTACCATGAATTTGAGATCAGCCTGGGCTACCCAATAAGCTTGAGGCTAGCCTGGCTGGCCTAGAAGGATTCTCAAAACAATAGCCACAACAGAAATGTGTATGGGCACTGCTAATGTCTGTTAAACCCCGCTTTCCATATAGTTGTGCATTTTGGAACTGGTGAAAGTTCGGAAGATGCAGTCATGATGAACACGCCTGTGGTTAAAGCAGCTTTGGAAATGGGTTTCAGCAGAAGCCTGGTGAGACAGACAGTTCAGCATCAAATCCTGGCTACTGGTGAGAACTACAGGACCATCAGCGACCTCGTGATAGGCTTGCTTGATGCAGAAGATGAGCTAAGGGAAGAGCAGAAGGAGCAGGCCGCCGAGGAAAAGGAGTCAGGTACAGGGTTACAAGGTCCTTCTCCAGAGAGACGTGCTGTCACCCTATGCAAGTTCTAAAAAGATGCCCAGCCAGCCTGCTCTTTCTTATGTTTCATATTCTAAATTCAAATTCTGAAAACAATTCTTCACAATGAAGTGCACTGTGGAGGGCCAGGGAGACGGCCAGCAGGTAAGGGGATTTCCTGCTGAACCTGACTGCCATAGCTTGATCCCTACAACCCATTTGATGCAAGGAGAACTGACTTCACTCATACAGGTTTTCCTGTCCTCTACATGCATGCTGTAGTGCACACACACACACTATTAAAAATATACCAGAATTACTCAGCAATTTTAAAAAATGTGGATGATGAGCCGACTTTAACAATTTTTTTAGATTTATTGATTTGTATTTTATGTGTATAAGTACCTTGCCTGTCTGTGCCTGTGCAGTGCCTGTGGAGTCCAGAAGAGGGCACTGGATCCCCTGGAACTAGAGCTACAGACAGTTTTCAGTTACTATGTGGGTGCTGGGTATTGAACCGAGGTCCTCTGAAAGAGCAGTCAGCACTCTCAGCTACTGACCTATCTCTCCAGTCCTGCAATCTTCTCTCTCTTTTTTTTAAAATTTATGTTTTTAGGCTGAGTGGTTGGCTTTGCATATAATTACTCATGGGAATTTAAAACAAACAAACAAACAAACTGGTTCTTGTAACCTTTGCAAGTCCAAAACAATCACTATATGCATGATTTTGTTTTATGTATATGCACACAGATCATTTCAACTACTAAGCCTTTATTTTTTTCTCTTAAAGACTTGATTTCAACATACTAATATTATCAAATGGGTTCAGAAATTTTAAAGAGGTGTATGTGCACATGTGCGTATGTTACATGCATGTGTGTGCGTGTGTGAGTGCACCCGTGTGAGTGCTTGCCTGACCTCTTCACACTGAGTCATCCCCCCCCCCACCTCCCCTCCCTCCTTGACTCAATGTCTCAGGTAGCTCAGGTCGGCCTTACACTTGCTTTGTAGTTGAATCCTGATCTTCCTCCATCTCCCAAGTGCTGTGATGATAGGCATGGACCACCCACTTGCCTTAATGCACACATTCATGTTTAAGTCCCCTACCTACCCACGCAAGAACTATCTTCCCGAGCAACTTCCCAGTTTATGGAGTTCTCAGATTCTGTTTCCCGTCCCCCAGGGCAAGCTGTCCGTCGTGCTAGCTTTGTTAGCTAACCCTGTTCCATGTTCTGTGCCCGAAGCCACCTTCCTCTGGGCAAGTGTCGCTCTCTTCTGCTTTTGGTTGCTCTCCTCACTCTAGCTGAGACAAAAGTGCATGACTGTTGTGGTCCCATATATGTGCCCTATAATGTGATTCTCTCTATATACATATATTACATATAATAACTTATGTATAAAATAATTGTTCATACTGCTCATATTAGTATTCATCATTTTATAGATATAGCTTTATAGTAGAAAATAGAATACCAAGAGATAAGTATTGGGCTATGGACATCGCTCAGTTGGCAGAGTGCCTGCCCATGTACAAAGCCTGGGGTTTGACCCTTAGTGCTGCATAAACTGGGCATGGTGCCATCTGTCTGGAAAGCTGGCAGTCAGGAGGTAGCAGCAGAAAAATCAGAAGTTTAATGTCATGGTGAATTGGAGGCCAAGAGCTACATGAGATCTTTAGATAAACAAGCATATATGATTTCGTTCATGCATTATGTAGAAGTTGTGGGCAGAGTTTGAACATGTTTCTCTCTTCATAAAGAGGACCTAAAATTAATCCGGAAGAACAAGATGATGCTCTTACAACACTTGACGTGTGTGACACCACTCCTGGATTGTCTCCTAAGCGCCGGGGCCATCACTGAACAGGAGTGCAATGCTGTTAAGCAGAAACCGCAGACCTTGCAAGCGAGAACGCTGATTGATACTGTTTTAGCGAAAGGAAACACAGCAGCGACCTCATTCAGAAACTCCCTTCAGGAAAGGAACCCTGTGTTATACAAAGATTTATTTGGTAATTGCTAGGAAATTATCTGGGGGAACTTTCTAGGTCAGTTGAAAATAGGGTTTTATTAGTAATTGTGGACTGTTGAAAATAACTCAGTCTAACACACACACATATATGTATATATAATTTGATGTGTTTTGGTGATTTGCCTGCATGTATGTTTATGTGAGGATATCAGATCATGGAGTTATGGACAGTTGTGAGCTGCCATATGGGTGCTGGGATTTGAACCTGGGTTGTCTGGAAGAGCTGTCATTGCTCTTAACTGCTGAGTCATCTCCCCAGCCTTCCCCCTTGAAGTGTAAAGTATTTACAGTCTGCTGTGTGGGGGTTGGGGGGGCCTGGTGAGATGGCTCAGCAGAAAAAAAGTGCTTGCCCTGTAAGCTCCACACAATCAGATGATCTGAGTTTGATCCGCAGAACCAAACTCCTGAAAGTTGTCCTCTGGCCTTATCATGTACACTGTGGCTTTCTGGGCATGTGAACACACTCCTGAGTGCGTTCTCTCTCTCTCTCTCTCTCTCTCTGTCATAAGTAAATACATAAATTTGCTGCTGGACATGGTACTTACTATACACCTGTAATCCCAGCATTCAGGAGGGTAAGGCAGGAGGACTGTGAGTTCAGTGCCAGCTTGTTTACATTATTCTATGTGTCAATTAACAAATGTTAACACTTGGCAGGCGAACTTTTTAGAGTGAATACCAGCCTTGGTTCCACAGTAATGCTTTGCCCTTTTCTCGCCCAGCGCAACAGGACATTAGGAGTCTTCCCACAGATGACATTGCAGGTAATAGCAACATATGATGCCATGTGGGGCAACACTTGGAATTTAAAGGTGGGGGCGTCAAAGTTAGAGGTCAGCCTGGGCTCCACAGAGAGACCCTGTGTTTAAAATAAAAAAATGCCCCCCTCTTCGTAGCTCTACCAATGGAAGAACAGTTGCGGAAACTCCAGGAAGAAAGAACTTGCAAAGTGTGTATGGACAGAGAGGTGTCCATTGTCTTCATCCCCTGTGGCCACCTGGTCGTATGCAAAGACTGTGCCCCCTCCCTAAGAAAGTGCCCCATCTGCAGAGGTACCATCAAGGGCACAGTGCGCACGTTTCTTTCCTGAACTGATGGTCCACAGCTGCTAGCCTGGCGTGGGAGGGGGAGGCCGGAGGAGCAGAAGTTCCGAGTCATCCTCAGCCTGGACTGCAGGAGACACTGCCTCAAAGGAAACAAATAAAGAAATGGAAAAATAAAAAAGAAGGGGCAAAAGAAAAGCCTTTGTCTAAACACAAGAACAAATGGATTAACTACATACTAATTTTAATTGGTTTCCTTAAAAGTGCTATTTATTTCCAACTCAGAAAGCTGTTTTCTGTAAACATATTTATGTACTACCTGCGTTTAAAGCATATGTGCTCATATATTCAGATGCCAACAGATAGGTTTTTGTTCTTACTCCTGAAAAGCAGGGATTGCCTGCACTCCTGTAATTCTTAGAGAAGATTTGTGATGTTGGCATTTATGATTCAAAATTTGAAATATTTTCGAGTTGCCTTAAGAACTGGGAACACAGATTTCCCAAGTGTTTTATGCATAGAACTTCCTGTTATTTATTAAATGACATTTTAGGAATATGGAATTTTAATAAAGAATTTGTGAGGAAAAATTAATAAAGCAGCACAAGTATTCTTGTTCTTATTTATTTGTTTGCTTGTTTGTTTGTTGTTATGATGCTAGGCAGGATAGTTCACCCAGATTCCTACCATAGTAGGTGCAATCAGTAAAGTGCTTGACAAAAAAAGCAGGAGGACCTGAGTTCGAATCCCCAGCAGCCCCATCAAAAGGCAGGTGTTGGCAGCATGACATTTAATCCCCAGGGACTGGTTCAATGCTTCCTTGACTGGAAATGCATACAGAATGAGCAGGTGTATTAGTCTTGTGTTTGCCAGTGTTATTTCTTATAATGATATTTCCTTAGTCGTGCATGAGTTTCTCATGGATGGGGGAAGGGAATGATCTTTAAAGACATGTAGAAGGGAACTTGATGACCGTCTACTCAAGGAGAGAAATGACAAAGCAGGCAAGCTCTTATCTGAGGGCCACCCTTAAGTTCAAGGATTTGGGAGCTAATCAAAGGAAGTATGTGCTCACAGGCTAGCTGTTACAGCTTCAGTTGTCAAGTTGACACGCCTAGGATGATGGAGTCTCGATGGGAGAGTGGCCCTCATCAGATTTGCCTGTGGACACACCTGTAGAGCATTTTTTGAAAAGTTGCTAGTTAATATAGGAGTGACCCAGCCCAAGAGATGGTACGTTCTCTAGGCCGATGGTCCTGCATGGTATTAAGAAAGCAGGTTGAAGCAAGGCAGTCAAGCAGTGTTCCTTCATGGTCTCTGCTTCAGTTCCTGTCTCCAGGTTCCTGCTTTGGCTTCCCTAAATAATGGACCATAATCTGGAGCAAAATAAGCTTTTTCTTCCCCAGGTTAGTTTTAGTCACAGTTTTATCACAGCAACAATGAGCAGATAGGACAGTGGCAGAGCGTGCCAGGAGCCTTATCTGGATGTGCTGGGCAGGCAGCATGGCAAACAGGAAGTCTCTCCTTGGAAAGCCCTTCTAGAACGGGAGCATGGAGCTCAGACAGGAAGGTGATGGGAGAGGTTTCAGAAGGAAACCAGACTGGGGTCTTTCTGGTCTAGGTGCACTGTGAAAGAGCAAGATGGAAAGCCTGGACTGAAGAGCTTGAAAGTATTACTGGTGAGTTGGGTCTGGGTTGGGAGTTTGCAGATTTCTGAGTGTCTTGTTGAGAATGAAATAGACTGCAATGCAGATAGGGTACTTCATTCAAAGTAGAGCAAGGAAGAAGTAGTGTCAAGAGTGACAGTGGGCAATGTCAGTGAGAAGACTCAAGGCCCCATTGGTTGGGGCTTTTGTAGGTTTCAACAGAAAAGGAAGTTGGTTGCAAAGGGCCCTGGTAAGGCTTCCCCTTTTTGACTACAGGGTTGGCTTATGTAAGCCTTTGCTTACATCCCTACTGATTTTAAGCAAATGAACATCCAACATAAGATAATAAAGAGAAGATTTTCCCTAATAGTCCACTCAAGGGATACAGTGGCCTTACTGGGCAAGAACCCAAAACTAGTCTTAGGCCAATTGGTCCATCCTTCCTGTTTGGGGATATATTTGAATAGAAATGAAACATTATCAAGAGGTTGCTAAGGGGAGTAACAATTGTTTCAAGTGGGTATATGTGCAGTGTGATGCGACAGGGAGTACCTAGTTTGCCAACAGCTTTCTAGGTACCTTGTCCAGGGAACAGTCTCGCTCAAGCCAAGTGGAGCCCCAGGTTCCTAGGGTATTCCTTATGGCTGTCAGCCTCAGAAGGTGAGACTGCAGTCACTGGTTGTGGTTTCATTGAGTATTGAACAACAGGGAGGCTCTAAATGGCTAAACATGGTTGGTAATCTGTTGGAATGTGTTTGAAAGAATGACCCATGGTGAGAGAGACTCCAGCAAAAAAAAAAGGCAGAGGGCTTTTAACCTCAGGTGCATTTTGTCCTCTAAGTTGTTCTTGGTTGTGATTTTGTGCCTCCTGTGACAAACACCTACATTCAGTTTATAAGACATCATTCTTGTTGGATGACAGATCACAGCTATTGAACCCAATCTGGTCAGTGTACTCTGATTCTGGATATGGCCTTCTGCCTTGCTTTCATGCTTTCCCAGATATAATCTATGGTATGTGCAAGGCAATTATGTTTAAATTGGTCTGTCCTGAAAAAGTTCTGGAAAAGTATGTGCTTACTGACGTTAATTTACATTTTTCTGAACTCAAACCATCTTTCTTGGACCATTGCTTTCTTTGTTTCATGTGTGTAGAAAAGTAAACTGAAACTGAAGTCAAATTGTCTACAGCAGCAGACTGTAGTCTGCCCCATTCCTTCAGCTCCCTGGTCCAGCAGACTGGAAATAATGACAATAATCTGAGCAAAGCAACTCAAGTGAAATTCAAGTTTGGGTTAGGTTAGCTTTTGATCTAATGATCCCAAGCCTGCTATAAAGAAGAGAACAAATAGGGCCTACATATAAGGCCTTAATACAGTTAGCATCTGGACTTTGAGTTCAACTTTGAAACTAGAATTGCTGAGATTTTAATGCACAGTAAATGATTAAAGTGTACTATTTAAGCCTTTAAATAATGTTTCCAGAGCTCGATGTGATGGTTCCTGTTCATCGTCTCTGCACTCCAGAGATGGAAACAGGGAAGTTGGTGTAGGTTTTAAGATGGTGTAGGCTTTGTAATGAGTTCCAGGACACCCTGGGCTAGATAAGAGTTTGGCACCTTGTCTCAAAATAACAGAAACAAACACAAACATTTCTGAAGTTCTGAGATTGTGCTGATTAGTTTTCTGTCAACCTGACACAGACTATTTAAGCCTTTAAATAATATTTCCAGAGCTCAATGTGATGATTCCTGTTCATCATCTCAGCACTCAGAGTTGGAAGTGGGGAAGTTGATATAGGTTTGAAGATGGTGTAATCTGAGTAACCTATAAGCCGGACGTCCCCTGTCACAGTACCTTTAGGTTATGGTATTTATCTCAGCATTAGAAAATCAAACCAGGAAGGGAAAGGATTTCATGTTACAAAGACCGGCGTCAAGTTCACTGTGTAGAGGTGGAGGCTGCTGACCTTGGGCTTATGTTCCATCTGCCTTCACCTCCTGAACGCTGGCATTACAAGTTTGTGTTGCTGTGTCCAGTTTCATGTGCCACTGGAGACTGAACCCAGTGCTTCATGAGTGCCACGCAAATGCTCCACTAATTGGCTTGCATTTCCAGTCCTGGAAAGTTTTTTCTTTGAACATAATATTTTTATTGATTCTTTGGGAATTTCTTATCATACACCCTGATCACAGTCGCCTCTCAGTCCTTTCATGTCTGCCCCCCACCCATGTGATGACCCCCACAAAAAAAGTCCAACTTGTGTTCTCTACATACTCACTGGAGCATGGTGAAATTCTCAGTGGCCTTGGCCTTTAACTAGAACTGAGTCCTTCCCTTCCTATACCCTTCCCCAAGCTGGAAGCCATCTGTTGTGGAGAGCTAACTTCTCTTTTGAAGAGTTCTCTTTAATGACTTCCTGTTTAAGCTGCTACCCTTTTGGGGGCTGGGAGTGGGGGTAGTGGTTCTCATACAAACCTTCCATGTCCCCCCTTCGCAACTGTGATCTGTAGTCATTGATATCACTGCTAAAGTAGCTTCCTTGCTCTTAGTAGTTAGCAGAGCACGGATCTTGGGTCTCCACATGGTTTCTGGCAACAGCGTGGCCCACAGTCATTGATCGACATTGTTTCAGGTGGCAAGACAGCTCACGGATATCTGCATGGCCTTCAGTGGTCACATGGGCCATGGACATCAACACAGACCCCGGTCGTAGCAGGACCTTGGACCCAGTCATGACCATCACTGGAAACGTTTAATAAAGAAACAGGTTTGTAATATGAGTGCCTTCTTTTTTCTTTAGATAATAATTATTGAATGAGGGCTGGAGAGGTGGCTCAGAGGTTAAGAGCACTGGCTGTTCTTCCAAAGGTCCTGAGTTCAATTCCCAGCAACCACATGGTGGCTCACAACCATCTATAATGAGATCTGGTGCCATCTTCTGGCCTGCAGGTATACCTGCAGAACACTGTATACATAATAAATAAATAAATAAATATTAAAAAATAATTATTGAATGAAAAGTAAATGAAAGTTGGGGTAAAAAATTCTGATGTAGCTGCAGTTTGCAGACTTGTAGTGTCTTAAGGTTCTGTTTGAATTTTTTACATAGACTATTTCAGTCGTTCTGGAAATACACATCATCTGGGGTATACTGTCATGCTCTCTCCTTAAATCTTAGGCTTGTTTCTGAGCTTTCTTTACAAGTCTTGATCCTCATCCCTCCCCCTTGATAGCCTACCTGCCTAGTTCACTCTCTAACCCTGACAAAGAAGCCCCGAGTCTGTCAGCAGCCTTCTACCCTTCATGTATTCTTCTAGCACTTCTTCATCCTCTGAATCTGTGTGAGGTATACGTTTCCAGCTGTCTCTACTCTATGTGGAGTTGAAGCCAAGGTCTCTTCCTTTACAATACCTCTTATTTCTTTTCTTCAGTTTGACAGTGTCTGCATATCTTATGCTGGCTTCAAACTCTCTATGTGGCCAAGGATGACCTTGAACTCCTGATGCCTCTGCTTTCAGCTTCTAACTTTTAGAATCACAGGCACATACAGCCACACCTATTTGACGGTGGAGATTCAATGTCACAATGGGTCTCACATCCTTGTCATGAGAGTTTCTTGGAAAAGGTGTTCTAGTCTATTTGCAGGCAGTTTGGGAATTTTTGGCAAGAGGCGTAAACCCTCCTCAGGTGGAGAATTCCTTCTTTTTCATCCATATATATCATTAGGCTTTGTTCTTAATCATTTTCCTCTCATACTGCCCTCTCCAGGATTACCTGCCATTCTCTTTGCAGTCTCTACTCTCTCTAAAGCTACATTCAGGTTAAGTGTTGGGGGTTGGTCTGATGCTTGTATTTTGATGCTAATTACTGGCTCTCAAGATTTGGTTACTACCTATCCTTTTTGTGTAAACATGCCTAAGACATTATTCCTGATTGGTTGATTAAAAAGCCTAAAACCTGGCCAGGGCAGATTGGGGTAGGTATGGCTAAGGTTCCTGGGCTCTGGGGACAGGAGAATCATGGAAAAGGACAGAGAGATAGGAGAGAGGAGGAAGGAGGATGCTATGAAAGGTTAGCATGGAGAAGGAACCATGTGGGCAAGGAGGATGGACTTTGAGGATGGTGTGGATGATAAAAACACCAAGATGAAAAATATAAGCAAGTATTTATAAGATTATGGATGGAAGATAGGCCCAGATAGAAATGGTTAAGGTGGTTAATGCCATCATTGGATGGGGGCTGAGAGATGGATGGTGAGGTTATTGAGACAGCCTAGGTGAAATTCTGCACAGCCCAAGGTGTATAAGGCAATTATAAAATCTAACAGGTGTCTGTGTCTTATTGATTGTGATAGGGGATTAAATAATATCACTGTAATAATTAGAGCTAATAATAAGTGATATTTAGCTCAATAACATAATTTTCAATAACAGGGTAGAGAGATGGCTCAGTGGTTAAGAGGATTTGTAAAAACCTGAGGAGCTGAGTTCAAATCCCTAGGACCCAAGTAAACAGCTGGGATACACATATGCCTCTAACTCTAGCGATGTGGAGCAGAAGACAGGATCACAGATCTGTCTCAAAGGAATAAGGTGGAGAGTGAGAAAGCAGGACCTCTGGCTTCCTCCTTTGGCCTTTGTGTGAGTAACACACACACACACACACACACACACACACACACACACACGTACACACTCATCCTTGAGCATATAAACTTCTTTCTAATTCATTACTTTGTCTTGTTTATGAATTCTTTCTTCCTCTCTCAAGAACCTGGAAACACTGAGTGGAGGTCTCACTCTCCTGCCTTTATGACTTACTGAGGCTTTCCTACCACTATTAATAGACACCATTCTATTTGCTTCAATAGTTTCTAAGGTTTTGAGACAGTGCATCATGCAGATTTGCCTGGAACTTGCTATAGAGTCCAGATTGCTGTAAAACACACTGTCCTCCTGCACCAGTCTCCCAGCTGGTTCGATTATGCCTGTGTACCATCACACCACCTTTATATTTGTTTAATTCTTAAAAATATTTACAACAAAATACAAAATGTTGCAGCTGGCGCATAGGCAACATTTTCATTCTCATCCGGGAAAGAACAAAATGTTTAAGACCTCGTTGAAACACTGTTTGTTGGGGCTGTAAGATGGTTCAGCTGGTAAAGGCATTTGCCACAGGTGAGCACATGCGGCAGAAGAGGGATGACCCCTGTAAGTCTTTGATCGCCACATGGCATGTATACCCCCCCCCACACAAAGTAAAGTAAAAGAATGAAAATAAAGGCAGTGGGTTGTTGGCTTAGGCTTAGAACGCTTCCCTAGCATGCATTAAGCCCTGGGGTCTATCCCCAGTGCCACCAAAACTACCACCATCACCACCAGCAGCAACAAAATGATGACTACATTTTTTCTGGGGAAGCGATAGGCAACACCATTCAAATTATTTCTCGAGTTGCAATTGCCAGCATTCCCTCAGATGAATGTGTCCAGCAAAGTTACGATTGCTTTACACAAGAAGCTAACAATTCCATTCCCAGTAAAATATTATATATATAAAAAAGAGACGCATTTTCAAAACCAGTAATTACAGCAGTGTTTGTGGAAGGTTGGAGACTACCCAAATGCCTGCCAAAGGGAAAGTAGCTGAACACACAATGGTATATACTTTTTTTTTCTATAGAAAACTCATTCTAGTGTTTGCCTTGGAGTACTGGGGTTTAAACTCAGTGCCTCAAATGCTCTAGCATACACCGTAAGCCTAGAAATAACCCTTCTGTATTTGATATGGGAAATCTTTTGAATTCTGTCTGGTCCTTGAGCCAAGCCTATGGTAATACTTTTATCTTTGGCTACAGGATAACCTTTACTTTCTCTCTCTCTCTCTCTCTCTCTCTCTCTCCTTTCTTCTTCCCCCTCCTCCTTGCCCTTTCCCTTCTCCTCCTCATCATCATAGGTGTCATAGGTGTGGTGGCATATGTCTTCAGTTCCAGCACTGGGAGGCAGGAGCAGAGGCAGGCAGATCTTTTGAGTTTGAGGCCAGCTTGGTTTACAAATCAAGTTCCAGAATAGCCAGGGTGTACACAGAGAAAAACCTGTCTTGAAAAGAAAACAAACAAAACACACACACACACACACACACACACACACACACACACAAAGAATTAGGTCTTGGCCCTACTGCTTTTGGCAGGCAGGAAAGAGGTGGAGGGCTCAAGTTCTCCTGCCGTCCCCATTCATGTCCTCTTCAGTAACAGGCCGGTGTCTTGCCAGGATGGCTCTGAGATCTGCTGTTTGCAGGGTTATCTGATGCCTGGCAGAGTAGACGTCAGGAAGCTGCCTTTGTTGTGGCCCCAGCCTCAGATGCTAGTTTGCAGGTTGCGAACAGTCTATTTCTCGGGCTCTTGCAATGCGCCACCTGGCGGTATGTACTCTTATACCATAGAGACAGAGATAAAAGGTAACAAAGCTAGTTTGGAACTGTGTAGCTCAGGCTGGCCTTGATCTCCCCGCAATCCTCCTACCTGGGCCGCTATCCCTGCCTCTTGTTTTTTAAATCAAATATTTAAGTTGACTATATTTTGGTGTACCTATGCCATGTGTCACTAGTACTTCTAACATTAGTCTCAATGTGCTAATACTGAGTGGACTCTGCAATTTAGAAAGTGGAGAAAAGCATACGACTAAACACTTGCAAAATTGCATTTTTACTCATTTATATATTTTGTGTGCGTTTTACCTGAATGTGTCTGTGCGCTGCATTACTTGCATGCAGTGCCCACAGAGGCCAGAAGAGGGTGTCAAAGCATTTGGAACTCTAGTTACAGATACTTGTGAGCCAAGGTGTGGATTTGAGGAACTGAATTAGGCAGCAGTGTCTCTCTCTATCTACTGTTTATCTCTCTAGCCCCTATTTTTATTATACAGTTTATGTTGCAGAAGGCTTTTCAATCTTATTTTTTCTTCAAAATTATCTTGAATTGTATACTTTTTGTATATAAAATGACACAAGATGTCATAATAACCACATTAACAAATGTTTTTATAACATATATATGTATTTTTTCAAAATTACTGGAGACTGTACATGGGCAATAGGAAAAGTCTTAGTTGAGTAAATAAACGGTTAACAACACTGACTATTTGACTGGATGTGACTGGACTCCAAGATTATATACAATGTTTAAAAAAGGAGTAATACATTCCAGCACTTCTGAGTTTGGGGATTGGAATTTTCCTATATAGTGAAGTAGATTCACTCTCTCATATTTTGGTTAGGACAAGAACTGAAAAAGACATACTCTTGAATTCAACGTACACAAGTCTTGCTAGATTCCCACAAATATTGGGAATGTTTTCTGTAACTTTCCGAGAAGTAGTGACTTGAACAAAACTCTGGCACCATGTGTATTTTTGGAAGTACTTAGTCATTGAAAACCACATGTCTTTTCTCTGTATCACAAACTGCTACAAATACTTTCTTTTTACTATCAACATTAGAACAGAAGACAGCCTGTTCTGTGACTGACTGACTTGCAGGCCAGAAATGATGGGGAAAGGAAATGGGAAGTGGTTCAGGGTCCCGGAATTCCCCTGGCTGCCTAATCTAGTGGCCTGTTATTTCTAAGTTTTTGAATGTTTGTCCCCTGGAGTTCCCCTGGACAGAAGATCTGATTTCATTGGTTTAGGCCATCTAGCCCATCGTAAATTAAACCGTAGGAACACCCCTCATAGTGGCCTACATTTCTAAAGTTAGCTCGCAGGAGGCTGAGGTTGGACGCTAATTCCTAGGCCAGCCTGGGCCCGATAGAAAAATCCTTCCTCAAATAACTAGATAAACTCCAAACAACCAAATAACAAAATCAAAACATCCCAGCGGGGAAGGGCGGTAAAAAAACACTTCCCTGCACGCTAATACTTTTGCAGCACTTTGTGTGGAGGAGGGGCAGCAAAGGGTCCGGGTGGGGGCGGGTACTCACGTGACAGTGAGCAATGAAATCAAGGTTTTATTTTTTCATTTTAAAATTCTTTCAGTTTCTTCAAGGACCAATAATGAACCTTAATCATACTCTCCCCCATTATACTGTTGTGCCTCCCACTGTGCCTTCCTCCAAGCTGTAGTCCTATCTTTTTGTTCATGGCCTGATGCGTTTAATTTGGTTATCCTGAATGATCACTTTCTTAGGTAGTCTTAGTGTGCTAGCCGCGGCTGGGTTTGAACTCCTGGGATTCGAGGTGTGCGCCACCATGCTGGCCTGCCAGAGGAGGCCACTTATTAAATTAAAGCCTATCTTACAAAAGAAAGCCTTGTTTTTGAACACGCACACGAGTGTAGTCCGTTGTACCCTGGCGTTCCGAGGCCAGCTCACATGGCAGTGAGAGCTACGAGGCCACGTTTGCCACAGTGCCTGGGTCTAGGACAGGCGGGGAGCAGCGGCTCCTCGTTGCCGCCCTTAAAGAGTCACCGCCGCGAGTTAAAACACGACATCAAAGCCCGAAACTCCTAGCGGCTACAAGCACTGACGATCGCGAAAGCTGCGCTTTGTTCGGTCCCGGCCACTGAAGCCCGGATGTTCAGCTTCCGAAAGCCCAACACGCCGGCGCAGGCGCAGGCGCAGTCGCGCGCGGCTAGTCTACCCACCAGCCCCCGCGCGCTTCCAGGCTGTGACGCGCGCCGTGCTGACGTCACCGCGCGTCCGCAACGTTCAGCTGGCCCCGGGGGCTTTTGGGAAGGCTGCGGGCGAACCGTCCGGCGCTGCGGTTCCCCGGCGCGCGGGAGCGTCCTCCGGCTTGACGCGGCGAGCGAGCGGGCCTCCTTTGGCGCCCCGAAACCAGTGCAGCCCGTGTTGTAAGAACTCCTGTGTCCTCAGGGCCTCCCGACCACCGCTTGCTTTGTAGTTTTGCTTTCTTTTTCTTTCGGTTTATTTATTTATTTTTTTGAGTCAGCCCCGTCTGGGCTCGAACTAGCGGCAGGCCTCCTGCCTCAGCCTCCTAGGTGCTGGGATTGCCAGCGTGCGCCACCTCGCCTGCTTTCAGAATTTCGGCCGGGTTTTAAGCTCAGCCCGCGGCATTCCTTTAATGCCTTTAACCCGAGGCAGTTGTGCGGCGGGGAGGTCGCGGTTCTCAGATATTTTACTAACTGCGCCCTGTCGCGGTGTGAGGAGTAACTCCGTGGGTTAACTGGGAAACGTGTCTTTTCTGTTGCTTGTCTTGCCACCCTCCGTGTCGCTCCCCTGCAGTGTGCGTAGAGCTCAGTTGGGTGCTTGCTGGAGATGGGACGCCCGGTGTGGTTAGGTCGCGCGCGCAGTGCTACCCTTGTTCCAGGCCAGCGTGTTACAGGCAGTTGTACTTTTCTGTTTTTGAGATGCTGGTGGTTGCTTTGGAATTGTTAGGGAATGGTCCTCCTCAGCGAGTTGCGTTAACGGTGCCTTGATCTAGGTCAGTTTAGTCTTGGCTGCTCAGGCTACCTGGAGCATCTCACCTGCCTTACGATTGAGATATACCTCAGGAATCTTCTCTCTCTATACGTATGAGATGTATCTACGTACCAGGGTCCTTTACCTTCGAGGCAAATTTTTAACACAGCACTACATCAGCAAACCTCAGACTTTCTACTATCCCTGGGTGCCTTTTGTCTCCAGTGAGACAAAATATCTTTACATCAGAAGACGAAAGGAGCCTGGTGATAGTGTGATTCTAGCACTGGGGAAGATGAGGCAGGAGAACTCTAGAAAATTTGAAAACCAGCTTGGGTTACATTGATTTTTTTTTTTCCCTAGTCTAATCTACAGAATGAGACCCTGCAAATAAATAAATAAATAAATAAATAAATAAATAAATAAATAAATAAAGGCACCCATACCCTGTGTATGGTGTATTTTGTCTAACAATAAATGAACAACAAATGAAATGAACAAACGTGAAATCGGAGACCGATTTTTTTTTTTTTTTCTGGGTGGAAATGTCCATTCTTCAAAGTTTTACTTTTTAAACTTTGCAAAGCTGCGCATTTTAAAGACAAGGATTGTTAGTGTTCTGGGAAGTGTTTGCAAACATGTATTTTGATTTAGACCTTTTTCTAAGTTGACTGGTTGGGTGGGAATGGCTGTAGTTAAGATTATTATCTTGAAAATGCCATTTTTAGACATGACTAAATAAATTGAGGAGGCCATAATTGCTGTACAATTAGTTTCCTAAAATATTTTTTTTTTTTCCTTTCAGATATACAACCCTCAAGAGTCTTTATTTTCTCCGATGTTTCCCTAGAAATAAACCCAGTCACGGAAATCTGAACACTTTTATAAAAAGATGCAGTTTGAAATCTATGGCGTGCTTTTGTGTATGAATAGTTATAAAATACTGAGTTTTCAAAAAGAAGGCTAGTATGGTACATTTGTGTGACAGAGATGCTGTGGCAAAACACGGTCGTTAGTTATTTGTGATAACAGGAGAAAGCTATATCTTGGTAAATTATTCGTCCTTAATTATAGCAGTGGGCCTTCAGTGAAACACAGGTGATCTTTATAAAATGCAGTCTGGGTAAGTTTATGGACAAACTACTGCCTGCTAGCCAGCTGTATTAAAATGTTAGACACCGCCGGAGTTAAGATAGTGATACATGTAAGGTTTGGCAGTGAGAGAGCGACAGTTTAGGCATTAAGCAAGGTCATTTGCTACGAATATTGGAGTCTCAATAAAGCTTGCGTTGACTTCCCCAGAAGTTAACCGAGGTTAACAGAATCCGCTTTAGAAATACTGTGAGGATGAGCTGTATGACATTAGCTTTTAGGAAATAGGACCAGAAGGAGAATTTAGTTATTTGGTTAAAAAAAAAAAGTCTGGAAAAAGGGAACCCCCCCCCCCCATATAGTCAGCAGTTGACCTAGTGTCTGGATTTCATAACTTGTAATGAAAAGTAAATGGAATAGCTCTTGTGTTACCCAGAAGAAGAGGTTCATTTGATTCCATAGAGTCCTGAGTAGTATAGGGTCTTGGAAAGTGAGACAGATTTGAGCTGTGTGAGTGTGAATTCATGTAAATCCAGTCAGAATGCAATGAATTCTATTTAGGTAGGTGTGTGCCGTTTCATTCCTGTCTGTGGCAGAGATCTTAGTGTGAAGTGAAGATAAGCTTCACATAACAGTTTAAGCGTCAGAGATACTGTTACTACTCATGCACAAAAGTATCTCCCAGAGTAGTCTGAGGTACCTTACACCAAAACCAAACAGAATAATGGAGGATAGCACAATCTTGTCAAATTGGACAAAAGAAAGCAAAGAAAAAATGACATACGACTTTTCATGTGAACTCTACAGAATGTCCACATACTCTGCTTTCCCCGCCGGAGTTCCTGTCTCGGAAAGGAGTCTGGCTCGTGCTGGCTTTTACTTCACGGGTGTGAATGACAAGGTCAAGTGCTTCTGCTGTGGTCTGATGCTGGACAACTGGAAACAAGGGGACAGTCCTGTTGAAAAGCACAGACAGTTGTATCCCAGCTGCAGCTTTGTGCAGACTCTGCTCTCAGCTAGGCCGCAGCCCTTGTCTAAGAATAATTCTCCTGTGAGAAGTAGGCCACAAGATGGCCTTCAGTCCAGCCTGGCCTCAGACCCTCTTAATTCTAGAGCAGTGGAAGACTTCTCATCAAGGACGAACCCTTGCAGCTATGCCATGAGTTCTGAAGAGGCCAGATTTCTTACTTACAGTATGTGGCCGTTAAGCTTTCTGTCACCTGCAGAGCTGGCCAGAGCTGGTTTCTACTACATAGGGCCTGGAGACAGGGTGGCCTGTTTTGCCTGCGGTGGGAAACTTAGCAACTGGGAACCGAAAGATGATGCTATGTCAGAGCACCGGAGACATTTTCCCAACTGTCCATTTCTGGAAAATTCTTCAGAAACACAGAGGTTTAGTATATCAAATTTGAGTATGCAGACACACACTGCTCGAATGAGGACATTTCTGTACTGGCCATCTAGTGTTCCTGTTCGGCCTGAGCAGCTTGCAAGTGCTGGATTTTATTATGTAGGTAAGGAGTTAACAGAACTAGAGTTTCATCTAGTTGGTTGATGGGAATATACATGCAGTCAGTTTCCGCTCTTTTTTCTTGTTTAGATCGCAATGATGATGTCAAATGCTTTTGTTGTGATGGTGGTTTGAGGTGCTGGGAATCTGGAGATGACCCCTGGGTAGAACATGCCAAGTGGTTTCCAAGGTAATTGGTTCTTTTTGTTTGTTTGTTTGTTTGTTTTTGAGATAGGGTGTCTCTGTGTAGCCCTGGCTGTTTTGGAATTCACTCTGTAGATGAGGCTGGCAGACGTCTGCCTGCCTCTGCCTCCTGAGTTCTGGGATTAAAGGTGTGTGTTACCACACACCTTGCTAGTCTTGGTATTTGGGTCTTGAAAACGTATAAAACTATTTATTGTGGTATGGAGGATTGAACCCAGGGCCTCACATCTCATAGGAAAGTGCTCTTAATTTTTTGTATTGCTTAGAATAGATTGAGGAGTACAGTTGTTAGTGAAATAGAATTGGAAATTCTGTATTTGAAACTGATTACCTATGGGCACTTGGACCTCATTTCTAAAATGAATGGACTATATTAGGTGTTTTTATTTATTGTGATAAAACACATAAACTTTACCAATTTAGCCATTTAAAAATGTATTCTTCTGTAGCATAAAGTATATGTGTACTGTCTTATAGTCAGCTCCAGAGCCTTTTCATCTTTGCAAACTGAAACTATCCTACGTTCCTAGCACCTGCCTTCCTACTCGCTATATCTGAATTGTTCTTCTTTAGATACCACATATAAGTAGACTCATACAATAAAGTTTGGACCTGTGCACCCCTTCCTTGATGATGAGGAATCTGTTGGACTCTTTGAGGAAATTACAGGGACCTTTGTGGCTTTTGTATGATATATGAAGAACAGTAATTTTGAAGTAACTGTTTATAATGGATCAACACATTGTTGAAATTGTTAGTAGTGTAAAATAATAGGACGAGTAGTGTACCTGTGCCTGCGTGCCTTTAATCTCAGCACTTGGGAGGGAAAGGCATGTAGCCTGCTCTGCATAGAAAGTTCACATCAGCGAGGGTTGCATAATGAGACTTGTCTGAAAAAATCATGAAGTCATATCACAATACATTTTATATGCCAGATCCGGTGTAATCTGAACACTCAGGAGTCTGAAACAAATTTGAAAACAACCTGGGCTACTTAAGAAAGACCTGTCTCAAAAATCAAAACAAAAAGAAAGATTTTGACTCTTTTGTTCTAAAAATTGCTGTATTTTATTTACTTAAAAATGTTAATTATGGCCAGATGTGGTGGTGGTGCATCCTATAATTCTAACAGTTGGGATGCTAAAACAGGAGGAATCCAGGGTCACCATTAGCTGGGCCACATTGAGAATCCCAGACCAACTCAGCTAGGAGGCAAGACTGTCTAAAAAAAAAAATAAGCAAAGAAATTATTGGGCAGAAGAAAACATTCATAATTTGCTAGTGGAGGTCAAAGAACAACTGTCCTTCCACCATGTGGGCCCTGTGGCTAGAACGCAGGTCATCAGGCTTTGTGGCAGACACTTTCACATGCTGAACCCTCTTGAAGGCCCCTAGAGTTTAAGGGTTCTGTTAATTCAAAAGATTTGACAGTGATTTCAGAATGATACAGGACTCATTGGAGTTTGGTCTTTAAGAACATGTTTGAAAAAACCCACCATGTTCTCTATAATGTGCTAGTATAAATTTAGTCTTCACTGTTGAAAACAAAGCAGTGTAGTAGGGGAAAGCATGTTGCCTCCAGTCTGCCTTGTAGCATCTAAGAATTCCCAGGCTAGTGTCACAGACATCCATACCCTGGAAAAAGTTTAAGGTTGCTGGTGTCACATGTTTGGATTGAAATGTCAGAACTTTAAACGACTTAACCATTTAAGTGGACTTGTAGTTATAATTTGAAATTTAGCTGTTATATCTAAAAGAGAAAAACATTTTAAATTCTAGCTTTTGAATTGCTATACTTTGTAAAATAGAATTCTTCACACTGTTTTAAATAGTTAGCTAAGGGAGAAGACTGAGGATTGGCTTTTGTCAGTGCAGCTCTGAACAGCTTTCAGCTTCGACTATCTTTAATCTCAGTAAAGACAAACTATCAACATTATCACTAGATTTTAGTATATACCGTTCATTTAATTATCAAATATTTAGATGCCTCTAAAGTAATATGTTGGTGCTAGGCATTATAATCTGTGCTCTGAAGGAAGAGTGGAGAAGGAGAAGTGTGGACAGTCAGGACTTACTGTACTTCATGCCTTTAACTTTTATTCTGCTGGTTAGTTTTTGTCAGCTTGACACAACTGGGGTCACTTGGGAAGAGAGAACCTCAGGTGAAAAATTGCCTCCATCAGATTTAAAACAGTCTGTTATGTAAACTGATAACTTGATTTCATTTGCATACAAATGCACTGCCTCTGTCCTTTCCAACTTGTTTTTGTTTTTTTCGAGACACGATTTCTCTGTGTAGCTTGGCTGTCCTGGAACTCAGTCTGTAGGCTAGGCTGCCCCTCTGTCCACCCGCCTCTGCCTCCCAAGTGCTGGGATCAAAGGTGTGTGCCGCCACCACCAGGCTCTTTTCCAACATTTATGGTTTTGATGTTACTGTATCTTTTAAGTTGTAAATTCATTGTTTATTTTTTATATGATAGTTATAGCTACAGGTATTTTTAATACTGTCTTTAATAGGACAATGGTAAGTATAGTTATAGGGCAGGGCTGGGCTAGTACTTAGATTGAATCTGTGCCCCAGCGTTTTCTTTTTAACCTTTGTTAGAGTTTAATGGTATACACGCTACCATTACAGTCTATAGCCATCTGAAAGTGATTATGTAATTGTCTTCACCTGTAAATTATTTGTTTTATTTCCCTATGCTCTCTGGAGCTGCTTACTGTGTTCTTTGATTGTAACTTTCATTATCTGTCTTGTTCTCTTGAAACTCACCAAGCTTCCTGAAGATGAGTATTATTAATTGCCTATCTGGCAGTATGTAAGCACCTTTCTCTTTCTTTTATTGAGCTGGTTCTTGGAAAATTATTTCATTCCTTTGTTGTTTTGACTTTTGTTTTGTTTTTTTAAGTTTCTCGTAACCTTGCTTCTTAGGCTTTGTGACTGTTTTACCTGTGGGTGAGTGTTAGGGCTTGGGCTTGTCAGGAACAGTCAGCCTCTGACTCCCTAGGAAGTTCAGGATCCTCTTCTCTGCAGCTCCGTTAGCCGAAGTCATTGTCAGTGAAGATTCTTAGTGTCCAGGGCAGCAGCAGAGCTTTTGGTGGCAGGCTGAAGACTTGGTCTCTTCTTGTCATGGGAAACATTCTGGCCAATGGGACCCTGGTGATTCCTCCTCTGGCTTGTGAGTGTCCTCACGGTGTTGGGAGCAGCCTGAAGAGCAGCCACAGAGCCATCTGTGTGTGAATGCATGGATAGAGCGCTGACTGCCGCTGCCTGTGAGATGGCTCTGACATGTGGCCTGGGCCTTCTGCAGGCCCTGGGCTGCAGAGCAGGGTTTAAGGAGGAAGGTGGTTCCTTTCAGAGTGTTGCAGCAGCTGCTCCTTTCTAAAGGGAGGGGTGCAGATAGTGTCTGCCTCCAGAGTTTCTCAGTAGTAATGGTGGGAACTGGCTGCTCCCTGGCAGAGGAGGTTCTAAATTCAGGACCAGTACATGCTAGAGAAACTTCTGAAGGTCTGTGCTATCTTCAGGCTGTTGACATCTTCAGTGGCAAAGGTTCTGGGTATCTCACCAAAGCAGGCCCCTAGGAACTATGGTGGTATCTGCCAGACTGCTGTCCTCCTTAGAGCCCACCTGTTTCCAGATATCTTGGCTAAGCCTGCCTTTCCCAGTAGGTCTTCTGTGTCTCCTCTTTCTTCCCCTCCCCTCCCTTTTTTCTTTTCTCTCCTCTCCTCTTCCCTCCCCTCCCCTCCCCTTCCCTTCTCTTCTCTTTTCTTTTCTCCCTCCTTCCTTCCTTTCTTCCTTTCTTCATTATCCAGGTTGAGCCCCTGGCCTTGAGCATGCTGTTCAGACATCCCACCACCCACATTTTTGTCTTCTTTTTAGCTTAACTGGATTACTTAGCCCTTCCGGGGCAGTTTACTTCAAGGACAACTGTCTTGGTTTTCGATAGGGATAAGATTAGTATTATTTAGTTTGCCATATTGCTGACAGCATTCTTGCAAGCTCTCCTTTAACTTGTGGCTTAATTACACTGAATGAGAGTAAGGACCTTTAGCCAAATTCTTTGATCAAATTAAGCAAGCTTTAATTTTCTGTCAGACAGGGCTATCTCTGTAAAGTGAGATTTGAAAAAATAGCATCGAACACAGGAGAAGCTAGGGTTTATATATTCAAAACCCTGCAAGACTAGGATTTTTCAAGAGTTGGGGAATTTCCAGAGGAATTTTCGTTATATAGAAATTTGACTGAACATTTTAAAATTATTTGGCAGACCATCTAATTAGGATATATTCTGAGCCAAACTCCATAGGGTGGGGAGCATGTTAAAGTTTAGAAACAGGTTAAAGCAAATCAATTTGAAATTTTCAGCAAATGAAAATTGACTTGTTCTGACCTTATAACAAGATGGCTGCTGGTATATGACAGCTCAGTTTCTGTTAGACTGTGTGCTGATGTGTGACACTCAGTTTCTGTTAGACATAATAAATCTCTTGGGTTTTGATGCAAATGTTTTGCTGTGGGGTGTAATGAAAGATTTGAAAGTCACTTCTGTAGAATAACCAGTTAATTTTTGATATGAAGTAATTTAAAATGGTTTCGGTTTCACATTTTAGGTGTGAGTTCCTGATACGAATGAAGGGGCAGGAGTTCGTTGATGAGATTCAAGCTAGATATCCTCATCTTCTTGAACAGGTAAACTGATTTTTAAAGTTTATGTGAGACCTGGGGAGGTAGCTCATTTGATAAAGTGCTTATTATGCAGTATGAGGTCCTGAATTCAGATCCCAGCACCATAGCCAAAGCTGGGTGCAGTAGCATGCATCAGTAACCCTGTGGTGCTGGAGACAGGTGAGTCCCTGGAGGCCACTGGCCAGATAATCTAACCACTCAGTGAGTTTCAGGTTGAATGAGACAGAGACCCTGCCTTAAAACAACACCTTTGTCCTCCACATGTATGCACACATAGTTGCACACACTTGTGTGAACAGGTACATATACCCTGTATACAAACAAAAATACAGCATTGAATTATGCTATGAAATAATAATATTACAGAAATTGTAGAGGTGATGCTTGTATTTGTATTTGTTTTATTCTGTTTACATAATTTTTGAGGCAGAATTTGAATTTATTATTATTATTTTGTTGTTGTTTTGTTTTCGAGACATTGTTGCTCTGTGTGTAGCCTTGGCTATCCTGGACTTGTTTTGTAGACCAGGCTAGCCTTGAACTCAGAGATTAGATCTGCCTGCCTCTGCCTCCTCAAGTGCTGGGATTACAGGCATGTACCACCTTGTCCTAATTTTATAGTGATTTTAAGCACTATAGTTAGGAAAAAAATGTGCTTAGGAAGAAAGATACACCTGAGGTTGTGGTGTGTGCTTGAAGAGCTGGAATTAAGTTACATATCATGTAGCCATAGTAATGGTGTCCTTGATAGTTTTGTTGCTAGCTTGCTGTTCAGGATTCTTTATAAATGTTTTTTACTTTTACTTTAAAAAAAAAAAAAATCTTATGTCCTGCCACTAAACAGGATTTTTCTTTTAAATGGGATTAAAGAAGTATCTTCAATGTCTTAGTCTTTTCTAGAAAACAAAAACAAAAAACTCAGCTTGTTAGGCGATAGGACCTTTTGACTTACCCAAATGAACTATCACTTTCTAAATGGAATAAAGAACCACTATAGTATCTTCCTGTTCTCTAAAATTGAAGATACACTTGAGTTTTAACTTGCATATAGATAAAAGTTAGAGCTGTATGAGAATTACAGTGGAACAAAATAAAGTATGTATGTATTACTTAATCCATACATATTATTATGTATTATTGAGGCAGGGTCTCATGTAGCTGAGGCTTGCCTTGAACTCCTGATCTTCCTGCCTCAGCCTCCCAAGTGCTGAAATTACAGGTGTGTGCTAGCATACCTGGAGTTTCCGAGAGGCTGTGTTGAGTTACTTAAGTGTTTTTGTTTGTTTAGGTATGGTGGCTCAGTACTTGGAAGGAAAGCTGAGGCAGGAAGATTTCTAGGCCAGCCTCAGCAACAGTGAGGCCCTATCTTAAAACAAAGCAAATCCCTGACCATGATGCTAAGACTGTTTGAGATTTCTGATTAACCTGTCAACTGTTCTCTTATTTCATAGCTGTTGTCCACTTCAGACACTCCAGGAGAAGAAAATGCTGACCCTCCAAGTAAGAAGGAAAATATTTCAAATATAACTGTGAATTTTTGTAAGAATGTTAGGAATGAAAGTATATTAGAGAAAAGGATAGTGGCACTTCTGAACTCATCCATATCTCAGTAGTTAAATGTATATGATATGTATGTGTTATGGTCCCTAAGATGGTTGAAATAACTATCATTTTATTTGCTGATCGTATCAAAAGGGGAATGCTGGTTTTTCCTCACCATTTCAGCGCTCACCATTGCTTTGTAGCTGGATTTGAGAAAGATTACCTGGATCTATAAAAGTCATAGGAACTTTGATTCTGAAGCAGATAATAGGCTTGGTCTTAGAAACTGTGACTCTGCAGTGGCTAAGAGACTTGTCACGTTTGAAAGGAAGGAGTCCCTGAGTATGTGGTGACTGCCTATGTAAAGGCACTGGCAAAGGTGCAGTAGAAGATAGCTGTGCTTAGTTAGGCTGGTGCTGAGGCTAGGCCCCAGAGCCCTGAGTGTGCTAGGCACTGTGCCATGCTACTCCATGCCACACTTCTCTACACCACATTGCCGTGCTACACCATGCTGTGTATTATCCAGCCTCTTAACATTTTTATCTTGCTTTTGCTTCCTGATAAAAATCACTTTGCCTGTCTTCAGAATGACTGTTGCATTCTAGCTCTTCCACAGTTTTCCTAATTCATGTACTTCATGGACAAAATAGAGGACTCTTAAGTCTTCTCTTCCAAACCGCTGGTCCCCATGTAGTCTCTTCTCTGTTCTTCTTCTTTTTTTCCCCCTTTTCTTTTATTCATTTTTTTTTAAATTTATTCATTTATTTTTTGATACAGGGTTTCATAATATATATACCCCAGGCTGGCTTTGAACTTTGGATGCTCTGGCCTCGGCCTCTGAGTGCTGTATTACAGGTATAAACCACTGTGACTGGGTTTGTCCTCTGAATTATGTCCCCTACTGCTAATCTGTCACTGATACTTTGGTAGTGACAAGAGGTAAGAGTACCCTTCTGTCATGGTTGCTGACAACTGCTGTATGAAATCTATTCCTGGTAGCTGGCGTTGGATACAGTTGAATGGCACTTTTGGCAGTATCTCATGGTATATCCTGGCTGGCTTTCACTTCCCAGTGCTGGGATTCTAAGCACACTCCACCACACTGAGCTTTGTCCTCAGCCCACCCCCTTGGGTTGGCTTCTCTGACACCACTCTTAGGATGGTTTTGAACAGTCTCCTTTGCTAGCTCCTTCTTCATATTTCTAAGTGGTAGGCTACTAGGTGAAGTTTACTTTATGCTCTGGTCATGTCACGTGGATTCCAGGCTGGAATGTCAAATCTTTTTTTTTTTCTCCTTCAAGATAGGGTTTTTCTGTGTAGCCTTGGCTGTCCTGTTACTCCCTTTGTAGACCAGGCTGGCCTCAAACTCATATCAGTCTGCCTCTGCTTCCCTGAGCACTGGCTTAAAGGCATGTGCTACCACACCTGGCTGGAATGTTGTGTCTTAATGTTTAAATCTCAAAGATGCTTCCATTTTTGGCCAGAAGAGCTGTCTCGGTGGACATGCCAAAACACTAGTTTCCTCTGCTTGGTTCCTGAGATGTCCTTTTGTCCTTTCCCATCTCCATTCATAATACCCAGCTACAGAACGAGCTGGGCTATTTCCTGAGCAGTCTGTTCTGCCTCCGTGGCATGTCCTGACACTCACCATCTACCCGCTGCCAGCCTAGTCCAGGCTGTGGTGCTGGGTCCTCCAGTGCTGCCTGATCGCAGCCACCCCTAGTCCTTCTCTGCAGTGTCACCAGTCACCTTTGAAATAGCCTCTGCTCAAGATCCTCCTAGAGTGTTCTGGCAAACGTAGGGTGACAGAGGCACCTGTTGCAAAGCTACTGTCCTGGCTGTCTACCACCATCTTTATTTCTTGACCATGTCAAGCTTTAGTCCTGCTTAAGGCTATTCTTGCTGTTCACTTTCAGACATTCCCACGGCTTGCTTTATCATTTCAGTTTTAGGGTCTTACTTATTTTTAAATGTTATTGTCTGGAAGAGGTGTCAGGGATCAAGGCTGTTTTGGTATTTTATCAGTCATACTTTTAAGTACACAAAACACTTTTTTTGTGTTTATTGTGTCATTTTCCAGCAGGCGGCAGTAAAGAGTTGATGTGATGTGGTGTGACTTGCCCTGATGTGATGTACCAGCTTGCAGTGACCCTGTCAACACAGTCTTCCTAACTTCCCTCTGGCTTCCTGACTCCTACTTTACACCTAATGTTTTCATCCTCATCATTTCTCTCTTCAGAATAACATTTCTTTTGTGTATTTAACTATGCTTTCATTATATTTTTGTGCTTCCTTATTATTTTCTGTCACTTATGCACTGTTTGGACATCATTCATTTAAGTCTGATACAGCTCCACTGGTGTAGATCCAACTCAAGTGCTTCATGTATGCAAGTCCTTTATGTAAGGCCCCCCTCCTTTTTGTTTTGTTTTGTTGTTTTTCGAGACAGGGTTTCTCTGTGTAGCCTTGCCTGTCCTGGACTCGCTTTATAGACCAGGCTGGTCTCGAACTCACAAAGATCCACTTGCCTCAGCTTCCCTGAGTGCTGGGATTAAAGACATGCATTACCACCCCCAGCTTTGCTTTGGGCAGATCTTTTAAAAATTAATTTTTATTTTATTATTTGTGTGTATGCATGTGAGTGAAAGAAAAAGAGACAGACATAGAGAAAGTTATTTTAGAAGTCCTCCTGTGGGTTTCAGGAATTGTACTTGGGTAGGGGCTTGTATAGCAAACACTTTGACCATGAGCCATCTTGATTTCTGAGAGAAAAAAAATTATTGTGTCTATGTGGGTACACAAGCCACAGTGAGTGAGTGGAGGTTAAGAGGACAACTTTGTACTAGAGAGATGGCTCAGCAGTCAGGAGTCTGGGCTGCTCTTCCAGAGGACCCTGGTTCAATTCCCAATACCTCCATGGCAGTTCACAGCTGTCTGTGGCTCCAGTTTCAGGGGATCCAATACCCTTACACACACAGATGCAGGCAAAACACCAGTGCCATAAAAGTAAGTAAATCATTTTAAAAAGGAGGACAACTTAGGGAGTTGGTTCTCTTCTAATTCTTAGGATCTAATGGATCCTGTGAATTGAACTTAGGTTGTCAGACTTGGCAGTAGGTGCCTTTATCACTGAGCCATCCCACAGACACAGGTAGAATTTTAAATCCGATTCCTAAGCTTATTGCCAAGAGAATCTTTTTATTCAGTATGTCTAAGATGTGTGCACTACAGGAAGTAAATTTTTTCTTCCTTCCTTCCTTTGGTTTTTTGATTCAGAGTTTCTCTGTGTACCCTTGGCTTTCCTGGACTCAATTTGTAGACCAGGCTGGCCTTGAATTCACAGAGATCCGCCCATCCCTGTTTTTTCTGAGTGCTAGGATTACAGGCGTGTGCCACTGTGCCCAGCTGATGGAAGGTTTGTTCTTTGTTTGTTTTTATGGATGAATAGTGAGTGCACTAATTGTTCAAAGTTTAATTTTTATTGAATTTAATTTAGCTTAATTTATGCATATGGTATAAAGGCACCTGCCTTTATACTGTATCTCCCTTATCAGGATATGAAAGTAAAGGTGCCATAGTCATTGTTTTTCAATTTTAAATTTGTGGAGTTTAATATTAGCAAATTTGTTTACAAACAGTTGTGCATTTTGGACCTGTTGAAAGTTCGGAAGATGCAGTCATGATGAACACGCCTGTGGTTAAAGCAGCTTTGGAAATGGGCTTCAGCAGAAGCCTGGTGAAACAGACAGTTCAGCATCAAATCCTGGCCACTGGTGAGAACTACAGGACCGTGAATGATATTGTCTCAGCACTTCTTAATGCTGAAGATGAAAGAAGAGAGGAGGAGAACGAAAGACAAACTGAAGAAATGGCGTCAGGTATAGTGGTGCTGGTGGCCAAAGCTTTTCAGGCACATGTTACATGGCAACAACCTTCCCTCACACCCATAAATTACTGGTAACATCCCTGTTCCTCCAGGCATTTTTAAATTGTCTCTTTACCCATCCCTGGCTAGCTTCAAGTTTGATGTGTAGCTAGTGCAGTCCTTGAACTCCCCTGAGGTTCCTGCTGCCATCTCCAAAGTGTTGGGATTACATATATGTGCCACTACCCAGATTTACAGTGAAGTCTTTTCTTGAGCTATATTGGAGTTCTTCTTTATACATAGCTAAAATGTTGAAAAGTATGATTTAAAGGGTTTGAGAGATAGCTCACGGGTTTAAGAGTTTTTGCTGCTCTTGTGAAGCACCCAAGTTTTGTTCCCATTGCCCACATAGAGTCTGGTGTCTCACAACTACTTGTAACTCCAATTTCTAGGATTTAAAAACTGAGTCAGAGCTGGTTGTAGTGGAACATGTCTAATTCCTACAGTCCCGGCATTGAGGAGAGTAAGGCAGGGATATACCAAGTTCAGGGTCAACCTAGGGTGCATAGCAAGGATCTACTTATTAATAAAGTTCCTTCAAATATAGTTTCTAATATGATATTTTGCCCAATAATTCCTTGGTAGGTGATTGTTATACCAAAAATTCAACTTGGCATCCTAGACTGTGGTCCTTTGCCTAACCCAAGAACAGTAGACAAATGATTTTGATATTTGTGTAGATTTTATTACATCTTCACCTCCTAGAACAAGTCTTCTAAATAATTACATCCTCCACAAATACTTACATGTATTTAAGTCTGTAAACAGCAGAGGTAAGTAATGGGAAAGTGCTGATCATCCTCAAGGAGCATGTTCATTACCGCTGAAGTGAGGTAATGAACAAGATGGATTCATTCTTTAAAACTACTGTAAAATTAGATGTATAAAATTATAAAGGGAGCTGGCTGTGTGCCAGGTATTGTGCTAAGTGCTTTATGTGCATTTTACTTAATTCTTTAAGGAAGGTACTATTTCAGATTCGGAAGCTGAGGTGTATAGCAGGGGAACACATGGCTGTTAAGTGGCTAGACTTGTCTGGGAGCCAAGTGGAATCTATCTTGACTTACAGCTTAAGCTCTTGAGCACTGTAGTTCTGTAGAAGGTATGGAGTCTCAGAAAGAGAGGCTGAGGATGGAGCTTGATTGGTAGGATGATTACTGGTGTTCCCAAAGCCCGTCGTCACTACTGCTAAACTGGGCATAGCAGTTCATGCCTGTAATCTCAGCACTTGTGAGGGAGGTGGAATCAGGAGGGTCAGAGCCACCCTTGGCCATACATGGAACCTGGATACATGATCCTGTCTCTATAAATAACAAACCAAAAACCTTAAGTAGTTTATACTCTGGTTTAACAACTCATTTTGTGGCCTTTCACAAACCACTCTCATTTTCCTGAGGCTCCCTAGCTGGAAGATAGTTGTGTTATATTTAATTGACATTTTGAATGTGACAATTTGTATGCCTGTACTTATAACAAGTAAAGTAATATAGTACAAATAATAATTTTTAATTCCATGGTGGGGCATAAGAAAGAAGGAGAGGACATGTGTTTTACTGCTCTCTAAAGTTTTCTGCTTGTTGTCAACAATTGGAAGGCGAGTCTGTCAGTGATAGACTTCAGATTTTTTGTATGAGCTGTTGTGATATATCAGAGTTTTAATTTGGAAGATTCAGATGCCAGCATTGAGGTGCAACCAAGTCATTTTCCTTCTTTAAGCTCAGTTTAGTGCCTAATTTGTGCTTTGGGTTGGTGGGTGTAGTTGGGGGCATTTGAAACGTAATGGAACTTTTTTCTTGCTTGTTTTTAAATGAAGGTGACTTGTCACTAATTCGGAAGAATAGAATGGCCCTCTTTCAACAGTTGACATGTGTCCTTCCTATCCTGGATAATCTTCTTGAGGCCAGTGTAATTACTAAACAGGAACATGATATTATCAGACAGAAAACACAGACACCCTTACAAGCAAGAGAGCTGATTGACACTGTTTTAGTCAAGGGGAATGCTGCAGCCATCATCTTCAAAAACTGCCTGAAGGAGATTGACTCCACATTGTATGAAAACTTATTTGGTAAGTTTTTTGGGAAAATTATTTAGATACTCACAGGGTTTTGTTCATCTCTGTTGAGCAAGCAGAATAAATCCAGTTAAAAAAACTGCAATCTTTACATTTTATCTATTCCAAGAAAAAACTGATGTATTTTATTGTCTAGATACTGTTCTTTGTGAAATACAGCAAAAATCTGTATAAAAATATTAGGCTAAAAAGTTTTGTATTGATAGAGTGATGTTTTTTGTGTGCTTTCTTTTCTTTAGTGGAAAGGAATATGAAGTATGTTCCAACAGAAGATGTTTCAGGTAAATTAGAGTTCATACTTCAGCATTATTTCTATTAACTTTCTAAAGGCTGAATCTCACTAGTGCTCCCTTGTTCTTAGGCTTATCTTTGGAAGAACAGTTGCGGAGATTGCAAGAAGAACGAACTTGCAAAGTGTGTATGGACAGAGAGGTTTCTATTGTGTTCATTCCTTGTGGTCATCTGGTGGTCTGCCAGGAGTGTGCGCCCTCCCTGAGGAAGTGCCCCATCTGCAGGGGTACGATCAAGGGCACGGTGCGCACGTTTCTCTCTTAAATGAACGATCTTCAAGTATTGTTGGACTCCAGAAGCCATCTGAACAGAGGACGAATTACTGATTCAGCTAGTGCATTCAGGCTCTGCTCTTCTTCACAATTAGTAATGTTGCATCATTAAAGGTAGTATTGTATATTTAATCTTAAGCGACTGCAAGGGAAGATCTGTGCTGGTAAGCTTAGGGAGTGTGTATGTAGCAGGAGTGGTGGTGCTTGCTTTGTATTATTCAGGAGTTACTGGGTTTGGAGTTTGGGGAAGCGTGGATTCAGGTGACGTGGAGCTCAGAAGTCCTGGAAATCGGTGGCCCTGGCACTTGGCAGTTAGGGCTCCCTGTGCTTCTTGGTGCTTTTTCCCTGTGGAAAATAGGATTTTTCTCTTACTGGTAAATAGTATTTCTCCTGTTTGTGAGAAACATATTAATAAAGTGATTTTTAAAGGCTTGCGTTATCATAGTGTGTTTTCCACCCTGATTTAAAAGTAATTTTCATAAGTCGTCATTGCACTCACTTGCTTTTAGGTTAAAAAAAATGAATTCATGAAACAAGTTATTAAAAAGTGTTTCTAATAATGGGATTCATGAGAATTCCCTTAAATAACAAGCTGTATATGCTTTGTAAATAAAGTATTGGGTGAAGACTATCAAAAAATTCTGATAAATCTGCGTGAGAATTTTCAAGAAACAGTTTACTTGCCTGGTGTATAGGTGCTGAAAGGATTGGAGGGTAGGACACAGGCAGTGATAAGTGCCTTTGTGGACCAAACCATGTATGGCCTGTCCCAGATGTAGGTCTGTTAGACTTGTGAAGGTTTGAAGTGTATTTAAAAGGAAAAAAAAGCTGAGCATGACGGTGTTGCACACCTGTAGTCTCAGCAGAGGCAGGTGGATCTCTGTTAGTTGGTTTTTGGTAATACAAATTTAGACATACTTTGGAAGAAGGAATCTTTTTTGTTTTGTTTTGGTTTTTGTGAGACAGGGTTTCTCTGTGTAGCACTGGCTGTCCTGGAACTTGCTCTATAGACAAGGCTAGCCTTGAACTCAGAGATCTACTTGCTTGTGCCTCCTGAGTGCTTGGGATTAAAGGCCTGTGCTACCATGCTGGGTTAAAAAGGGGGAATCTTAATGAGAAAACAAATAAGATAGTTCATAGGCATGTCTGTGGGGCATCTTTTTTTTTCTTTTCTTTTTTTTTTTTTTTTTTTTGATTCATGATTGTGGAAGGGCCTACCCCATTAAAGGTGGTTGCCAACGCTGAACAAGTTGTCCGGGATGGTACAAGACAACAAGCTAAGTAAACCATGGGGAGCAACCCAGTGAATAGCACTGGTTGGGGTTTGGTCTGGTGCTGTGTGTTCAAATGCTGATTTCAGGGCGTTAAGGTCTTGTTACCGCCCTGCAATGGGTATTGTTACTAATGTTGAAGATCTCTGGTACCCAGGTGATGAGAAGCAATGTTCCCTATTATTCCTGATTGGATGATTAAAAGGCCACCACGTAGGCAGAGCAAAAGGTGGGAGGCCTGGCTAAGGTTGTCAGGCTTTGGGGACAGAAGGGTCTTAGGAAAGAGTCAAGTACAGGAGGAAGCAGAGAGAGCTGCCATGGGTTAGCATGGAAAGAAGCACGTGGCATGGATGGAAGAATTGGCCCAGGTGAGAGAATAAGCAAGTACTTAAGGAATTATGGATAAGAGGTAGCCCGGTATGGGGCTGGGAGGTAAAGGTAGTTTAGAGGGTTAATATCTGCCTTGCCCCAGGTAAGATTAAGGCTGTTCTAAAATCTGTCAGGTGTCTGTCTTTTACTGATTGTGATAGCGAGTTAGATATACCACTGTAATAACTATAGGGCTAATAATAAACATTATTAGATGCTACCTTTAAGTTAACCATGACAAGCATAACTCCATGGCTTCTGCTTCAGCTCTTGCTTTTGCAGGTTCCTGCCCTGATTTCCCTTGGTGGTGGAGTGTGACCTGAGAGATGTAAACTGAAACTAACCCTTTTCTTCCCAAGGTGCTTTTGGTTATGGTGTTTTATCATAGCAATAGAAATGCTAACCAAGACAGCAAAGATGGCCTGTTCTACGTAGTGAGTTTTGAGAAGCCAGGGATAGATAATGAAATGAACAAAGCTCTCTGTATTAGGATTCTCCAGAGTAACAGAATTTACAGAACAAATCTGTATATGTATAGTGAGGGGATATTTAAGAATGATTTATAGGCTGTAGTCCAGCTAACCCAACAATGGGTGGCTATGAATGGAAATTCCAAGAATCTATTAGTTGCTTAGTTCACAAGGCTGGATGTCTCAGCTGTTCTTCAGTAGACACTAATAGGCTGTAATGGCAGTGAAGGAGTGGACTTGCTGAGAGGCAAAGAGAGAAAGCCAAAGCTTGCTTCTTCCATGTTGTTTACATAGGTTTCCAGCAGAAGGTGCAGCCCAGATAGAGGTGGATCAAGGTTCTGGATTAAAGGTCTTCCCAGAGTTAGGAACTCTGGTTCTCTTTAAGAGCCGCAGATGCTCAGCTCTGTCAGGATACACGCATGTGTATGGCACTGCCTAGGTTCAAATCCTATTAGCAAGGGAAGGTCTGTTCCTATTGCCATGGAGGGAATATAAAAAAATATTTTTTTACACTGTGGATACATAGTTGGTCTAAAACATTCCAAACTTTTTAATCTTCATCCTGGACTTATTAATGAATGAGGCTTTCAGCTTGGTAGGGAGTAAAATTAGAAGTTTGTCAGCCAAAGGAGCCCAGTTAGAGCTTGCCCCAAGATGAAGAGATAGTGTGCCAGGCCATCTGACTTTCATCTCAGACTGCAATTAAAAAACAAAAACGTGCCCTTCTCTTAAAAGGTAGTCTTTTTAGGACTTGCCGTGCTCCTTCCATTTGGCCCTTTGCTTACTGCTGGCTAGTATGCATTGAGGACCCGTGATGTGCCAAACACAGTGGTAGGTGCTATAAGCAACCGAGTGGTTCTTGGGGTTGAACTTTGGTGCTGGGTTCTGATACAGTAGTAGCTGAGAATGCAGATGTATTTGGAGATAAATCTCTTAAAGGGTAATCAAGGAGAACAAGATTGTGCAGGTAAGCTCTAGTGTGTATACTCTAAGAAGCCACATGAAGAGAGCCAGTGAAAAACCTGCCACCTGTAAGGCAAGGACAGAGGCTTCAGGACAACAAAGCCCCTAACACCTTTATTTCAGACTGTGGGAGAACAAACTTGAGTGAGTCACCCAGTCTGGAGCTCTGCTATGTCTGTCTTAGGTGCTTTAGAGCCAATCAGTACTAGTGACTCAACACTGCGCGCACGTGTGTGTGTGTGTGTGTGTGTGTGTATACACACGTGTACCACAGCATTCGTGAAGGTCAGAAGACAGGTTTGTGGGGTCAGGTCTCTTATCTTTACATAGTGTGCTAGTTTGAATAAGATATCCCTTGTCTCCGGCATTTGGATATTTGGTCCCCCATTGATGGTAGGTTTAGGAGGTGTGGTCTTGCAGGAGGGAGTACATTCACTGGGTGTAGGCTTTGAAATTGCAAAGCCTCATGCCATTCTGGCTTTCCTATCTCCTTCCTGCTTTCGGTTCAGGATGTCAGTGCTAGCTGTTGCAGCTGTCATGCCTGCCTGCTGCTAGGCTTCCCAGCAATGTTGGTGACATATTCTTTTAAGCTCAAATAAACCCTTCCTCCTACAACTTGCCTTGGTCATGGCTAAAGACACTTGCCACTGAGCTTAGTGTCTTGAGTTCACTCCCTAGAAGGAGAGAACCAACTCCTCTAAGTTGTCTTTTGTCCTCCACAGTGCCCCTTCTCCCCTAAATATTTTAAAACATACTGCCTGCATACTTTGAAATTCACTTAGAAATTAAAAATTTTAAATATCAATTCATTAAACTAATACAACCATTAATAAGAATGTTAATAAGAATGTTTAAGTGAGTTTGCTAAAAGCTTATTTTAGCAAAGCTTTATGCCTGGCATAGAAGACAGTTGTATTCTTTACCTGCTTGTGCATCCTTGCTTGTGACATGTTTTGGTGGCAGTATAAAGAAGTGTGAGCCTCAGAAGTACACATTTGGAAAAGGTACTGTAAGGAAGACCCGTTGGTGGACATTCTTCATGTTCTCCCATACTTTGGATAAGTGGCGTCTTAAGAGTGATGGATTGTGGAATAAAAAAACATAACTATGGGTTACATAGGACTCTCCCTGGTAAGGGGAAATAGCATAGACATCAAGGGTGGATGGGGATGTGGGACAGGATACGAGGGACCAGGATACGAGAGTGCTGGAAGAGACAACTGAACTCCCAGGAATCTAGGAGGGTGACTCTAAGACTTTTAGCAGTGGGGAATATGGAGCTTGACTGGCCATCTTCAGTATTACCAAGCAAGACTTCCACTGGAGGGATTGGGACACCAACCCAGCCACAAAACCTTTCACCTACAAACTGTCCTGCCTACAAGATGTGTAGGGGTAAAGGGAGTGCAGAGATTGTGGGAGCGCCCAAATGGTGACTGGTGCAGCTTGAGACTCATGCCACAAGAGGGAGCCCACCGTGACACTACCTGGAGGGCCAGAACCCAGAGACTGGATAGCCCAGAGACCTTTGATAGAACCAAACACGACTGGTTAAAAAAAAAAAAAAAAAAAAAAAAAAAGGCACTGAGATGATTCTTAATGCTATTCTGCTATATTTATAGCATGGTGCCTCACCCAGTTGTCATCAGAGAGGCCTTATGCTGCTACTGATGAGGCAGATGCAGAGATCCACAACCAGACATTAGGTGGGGGTTCAGGGAATCCTGCAAAGGGAAGGAAGGGGCATAGGAACCAAAAGGGATAATGACACCACAAGAAAACCCAGAGTCAACTAACCTGGGCTCATAGGGCCTCACAAAGACTGAACCGACAACCTGGGAGCCTGCATGGAACCTAGGCCCTCCACACATATGTTATAGTTGTATAGCTTGGTTTTCTTGTGGAACTCCTAACAGTTGGAACAGGGACTGATTCTTTTGCCCATGTTCAGGACTTTCTCCCTCATACTGGGGTGAAATAAGGGGAGGTGCCTTGTCTTACTGCAACTTGATATGGGAGGCCTGCTTTTCTCTGAAGAGAAACGGAGCTGGAGTTACGTTACGGGGAGCTGTGATCTCACCATGGTGGCTGGGAACTTGGGACCTCTAACCACTAAGAATCTCTCCAGGCCCCTCAATGACTCCTTCAAAAGATACAATAAATCTTAAAGAGTTGTGACGGCTCATCTTGGTTGTCCACTTGACAAGACAAACTCCTGGGTACTCCTAAGAGGGATTTTTTTTTTAGGTCAGATTATCTGAAGCAGAAAGGCACACTCTAAATGTGAGCTGTACCGTCACATGAAACGGTCAAGGATTAAAGAATCTGGCTTTTATCTGCGCCCCCTCACTCTGCCCGG